TTAAATAACTGCATCAGTTATAGCTATTCTGTTGGCAGAGAAATCTTGAACACCTTACAGAAAAATGCACTTGTATTTACCCCAAGAGATAGAATTTCAGAGGTAGTGTATGCAGTCTTAGAAACATGTAGTCTGAGAACTATGGACCCTGCAGGGTCTATTAAAGACCCACATGTTGAGTTCTGCTCAAGATACCAGGAACACTAGTTGGCTGATAAAGGCAAACATTCTTGGGAATTTGTTTTCCCCCAAGCACCAGCCAGAGACTTTGCATCCATCCTATTTGGTGCAAATGTTCTATCCAGTGTCTAATTCATAATGACACATTTGGTGAATGAGTGATATGGTTATGCTCATAGTTTAAGCATAACGTTCTCAGGGTGGAAAGGAAGAACAATTGTGTTTGTCTTGGCACAAGGATTTTTTGAAGGTTAAGAAAGTATCATGGGATCCCTATTATTCTATCTCTATAAACAAAAATCCATTCACAGAAGCACGAGTTCACAGCATCTAGAACTTCCGGGTTCCTCCACGCTTCTCAAAAGCTTATGGGCATGGTACACCTGGGCATGGCAGATTCTTCTGTAGTAGGTCTGGAGTGGGGATCCAGATTTCATTTTTCCAACAAGCTCCCATGTAATACTGAGGTGGGACAGTCAGGTGCTAGGAAAATTCCTTGGCAAGTAGAATGAGGAAACTGAGACAGATGGCTGATTCGAACGGGCCCCATCCAGCACCCTGCCTCACCTGCCTCCTCTCCCTCACAAGACCACTCCCTAAAGCACTAAGACAAAGGACCTAGTGTGCACACTGCTTGAAGCACACCCAGGACTTCCCCATGTGTCTCTTTGCTTTTCTTTCTCCTAAGCTCTAAAGGTTCCCAAACTGAAAACCAGGGGCACAGCTCTTCCTGGGCTAACCCCCGGAACCTATCTCCAACGGCCCTCCATTTGCCTCTATAACTTGTTTCCTGAGTTCAAGCAGCCCGGTTGGCTTACTTCTGCCTCTGTGACTTTCTTTGTAAAGAGCCAAGGCAGCCATGCCTAGGCTCAACTCTTCCTCACGCTTCTAAAAGGTTAAGGCAGCTCCCCAAGCAGCTTGCTCAAGTGACTCTTTGAGTGTACGTTTGTGTTTCTTGCTACATAAACTTCCTCTTGCCCTAGAGTTCTTGGCTCTAAATTCTTTCTTTGCTGAACTCTTGAACCAAAGTCCAACATTGCTGCTACCAATGCCAATGTTGCTGTTCCTTGAGTCTTCCCCTAAAGGCTTATAGATAAGGATGGAGTCAAAACTAGGTTTTAGAGTAAGTAACACCAAGCAACCTAAGGCTCAGGAAGATTTTAGGGGTGTCTTTAGAAAGACCATGTCACTTTCAGAAACGAAAGATATTTCCATGAAGACATGTTGCTAGTAAATGTTTGTCTTACTCTTTCCAGATTACCTAAAAGTCCTAGAGAAAAATCAAGTGCAGGACAATATTATCTACACATACCAAAATGTTCATTTTCTTTGAGGAGTACATGTTCTATTGTTAATAAACCTATGATATTAACTTCTTTGTTCTTCACAAAAATTTCTAGAACGTTCCTTAAAATATTTGGTAATGAAGACATGGCTTATTATGGTATTAGTTTACACTTTTACATAGCCCAAAAGTTGTATTTATTTTAATTATACAAAGAATTGTTGGTACTTTTTTTGGAGGTAATTATCATCATTAGCACTTCATTGTATTTTGGGAATAAAGAAAACATTATTGTTCCTTCATGATAGTACAAACCTACACCAAATGTTTTTATTTGGTGTAGGAAGTCAGTCTCACTTCCACACTAGGCTGACAGGAAGTTTGTTTCTGCAGTGTTTAGCACAAATGCCTTTAGATATACTGTTTCCTTTCTCTTGTATTTTTAAAGAGTTTGCATTTTTAATGACCCTAAGTTATTGGAGGATAATTCCCAGTGGCACAGTCAACATTCATTATTAATGTTTTCTATTCTAAGGCAGATGGAATTGTATAAATCTAAATGTGATTAGTACAATCTATCTGTTTTTGCTATAGGTGATGTGTCAGCCTCAAGCCAACGATCCTACTCCCTTACACTCTCATTAGAAAGAGAATGACCTCCCATTCTCTTTCTCTGAAATTTGATAATATGGATTTTCCTTAAGGAAACACGTTATGCTGTTTGGATGGAATAAAGCTGCTCTATGTTCATGACAATTGATATGAAAGTTTTTCCAAGTATCTTCCTTTGGGTTTGAGAAAGGTGGGTGAATGCATGCCCTTTTGAGCTAACTGGCATACACACCACTTTAAATGCTGTTCATTGAAGAGTTTTAGAGGGATGCCACGTGGCCAGGTGTGCAGCAGCGGCCTTCCATTCAAGGCTCCTCCCACTTCACAGATGAACTAGCCAAAATGTAGACAAAGCCCGAGATAGCAGCCTCAACTCTCAACAAAGCATGACTCACACAAACTGATCCATCTGGGGTCCTTCCCCATAGCTACCAGCATTAATCAGTAAAGTAGTTAGTTTCAAGGGGGGGTGGGTGGGTAAAAAGAGACACAAAGAATTTTCTGTATTTCTGTTTGGACAATGACTATGCGGGTTTGTGCGTATGTAAAACTTCATCAAGCTGAATGAGGTCTTTCACACACCTCACTGCACAAATTTTATATCCAATCAACATATAAAATAAACCATTTGCAGTGTGCATTATTAGTTGTTGTTGTTGTTGTTGTTGTTTTGTTGTTTTTTGGGAGGTTTTTTGTGTGTGGAGTAAATGGCCCTGAAACAGTTGTGGATCCAGTGACTTCCTTATAGGCTTCTTCCTTGGTGCCCTCCTTTGGACCCTCTCAGAAAAAAAGGGGACGATCCTTGGCTGCCCAGAACGTGTCATAGCTCCCCAGACCGTGCAGACAACACACAGAATGCTGAGCCAGAAAGAAGACACAAGCTCTTCCTGAAAGGATGGTTGACAGGGAAGCGATCATGTAAAACAAGGCGTCAAGGCCCAGATCAACAAAAAACTGTGGGGGAAGAAAAAGGTATCAGGTTTGGTCACTGAATCAATCAGACTAACCACCAAAACGACTAAGAATAAAGTGAATGGGGTGGGCCCGCCAAATAGCAGTGTCTGTTTCCTTGACCTTAAGAGATGCCTCATTTAAGGAGTGAATCAACTTCAATTTAACCACAAGTAAGTCCCATCCACGACAGCTCTCTACAACCCTCCAACCTGGAATTATTCTAATGTAGGACAAACTGTCTTTCAAAGGCAAAATACTTGTACCTCTATTAATGAAGCATTTATAATGTAATACTTGAGTTTCCTTCATTCAGCTTGCTGTATCTTGACAATTTCTGGCCTGCAAGGTTATTGTAGGTCATGCTTATTTATAGTCCCTCTTTTACTGCAGTGGCTATAGCCGCCATACCTATCATTTATCATCTAATTACAGTGTTCACCAACATGCTCTGCCCTTCCATTCTCAGACTGGCACTGTTGCTTCAGATTTTACATAATTGTCAAAGTTTTTAGTAGGGGACAATTCACTTTTCTCTACCTCCACTCAATTTTGTCTTGTATTTCCATCACTTTCAATTTTCTTATTCCATTTACTTTGCCTCTCTTTTATCCTTTATATGCTTATATTTATCATTACCATACTTTAAGAGTACACAAACTTGATTAAAGAATTTTTGGTGATAATATTTTCTGAAAAAATAGGAAATAGCCTCCAATATCATAACCATGGATGGGTATAGATGTATTATATTGGGTTGGCCAAGAAGTCTGTTTAGTTTTTTCCATAAAATATAAGACATTTTTCATTTTCACCAATAACTTTATTGATTTCGATATTTTGCGTATGTTGGCTATCTCCTGCTATTGGCTTCTAGTGGGTGGAGGCTAGAGGGGCTGCTAAACATCTTCCAATGATAAGACAGCCCCACAGCAAAGAATTATTTGGCCAAAATGTCAATAGTACCAAGAAACTTCACAAACCACTTTTGACACGTTCAACCAGTCACAGCACGTTCTCCATACACTGCACAAATCTTTTTTTTTGCATTTCAGAAGCGTCTTTACCTTTCTTGAAATAAAAATGTAAAATACAACGATAATGTTGCATTTCTTCCATCTTCAATATTAAAATGGCTGCACAAAAAATCACCAGTTTTGATGTTTTTTTAAATGCACGCTGATGTAACAGCTGTCATAATCTAACAAAATTGTTTTGAATGAAGTTAAAAACAACTAAGCACTACTAGAGCCATCATATGGAAAAACTAAACAAACTTTTTGGTCAATCCAATGTTAAGTTAAGTTACGGCCCCTGCTTCTTTGAAGATGACAATTTAGTGTTCCATTGTTTTCCTGAGAGAACACTGAATATCTATTTATGGTAACTGTGATACTAGGGATCATTAGTACACTCCTTGCCGGCCAGTAACTGTGCCAGCAGCAGTCGAGTCTGGTGAAGGATTATGCAGAAGAGCAGTCCTATACACACAAAAATAGCTCAGAACAGAAAGCGTTCCTAACAGGGCGAAGGCCTCGCATTTCCTGGGTCCTCCCTCTTCTGTCTCTCCATTCCCTGGCTTTATCCAGCTCCTAAATCTCTCCGCCATCCTCTCCTAACCTCCACTGGCTGTTCAGGGTCTCAAACTCCCAGCCTTCCTCCAGCTGGGCTGGGAGACTGGTACCCGCCGCCGCCGCCTTCTCCACGACCGCGCCCGCGCCCGCGCCTGCGCAGAACTTCTTCTCGCGCGAACGCGCAGCCAGCACCAGCGACAACTCCAGTCCCAGGGATGCAAGGTCCGCTATAAGCCAGCCCTGGTTCTACACGGCCCTCCTCACACTCCAGGGGATCGCATCCACACAGGAAAACGTCGTGTCTGGAAACAGTAACTTGAAGGATCCAGAGTAAGGAAGGTTCTGCCTTGCAGGAATAGAACACGCGGGCTGCGAAGCTCAGAGGTGAAGCCCCGCCCCTCAGGGCCAACTTCCTGCCTCCGTATTGGCCCGCATGCCCGTCAGTCTCCGCCTATGGGGCTTTGCCGGGCGTCCTCGCGACCCCTCTGCCCTCGGATCCCACCCTCTCACTACGTTGTTTTACTGGCTGCCTCCGCCAGTGACTGGCTGCTCCTGCTAGTACGATCCTGAGCTAGTGCTGGCTCCGGGAAGCTCCAGCGAGGGGAGGGCCGGGCCGGGCAGGAGCTGATCATTGCCTGGTTGATCGGCAGGTCCTTGGCTTCTTTGCCAGCAGCACCACCTGTCGCGGAGCGAGACGTGGGGTAAGGCTCCGTGCATCGGGGCCCGGGCGGGATCTCCGGAAGGAGAGCGGGCGTCGGCCTCCTGCCACTTGGCCCGGCGCGCCGGGCGCAGACCTGCTGCCGGATTCGGCGCGTGCGGCCGTCCAGGTCCCCGCTTGGCTGATGGGCGACTGAGCGAAGGGAAGAGGCTCGCTGAGGGCGGGGGACTGGTCAAGTCGGGGAACCCCAGTTCCACCGTCCGAGGCTCTACCTCGGCGTGCGGTTTTGGGGCGCGACTTCTCCGTTTCTCCACTCGCTCGTCCCAGAGAGACCCCTTTCCAGCCCCGAAGTGAGGGCCTGTGGCCTCCAAAACGCGAGCATCTTTTTTCCTCTTCTCTCCCGCCCTTTAAAGACCGATTTTGTCGCTCCAAACCTCTTTGGCAAATAGATTTCTTTTTCTGCAGGGATGAATTGATCATTAGAGGTATTTTGTGTGTTTGTGTTCCGTCTTCGCTTAAAAGAAGTTTGTTGTAGGCTAGAAAGTTCTAAGATTGGAACGGTTTTGTCCTGTCATGTGAAATAGCATCTGTGGACCAGGATTAGCAGGTGTTTGATGCTGATGGTACCCATCTCTTCTTGTGTGTTGTCGCATTCGAGGTCTTGGATTTGACTTTTTTCCCATGGTTCCCAAGATAATTCTAGAAAATAATGTGTTGTCCTTTGATGAGAAGCTTATTAAAGTATCAAAGCTCAACATAACTGCCTTCTTACGGAAATCATTTCATGTCCGATTTAAACCTTCTAATACTTGGGAAGTATTAGGAAGTATCATCACTTTTTTTTTTTAAGCAAAGCATTTAACAGCATTTCTAGTGTTGCAATTGATGATAATAAGCATAGAAGCACATATTGTTAAGTATGGGCCAGGCACTGTTCAGTGCAGAAATTGTCTCCAAATTATGCTTGGAAATAGTACTGTTATTCTGTCCAGTTTACAAATGAAGAAACGAAAGCTTAGAAAAGTTAAGTAACTTGCCCAAGATCACAGGTTTTAAATGGCAAAACCTGCATTCAAACCCAACAATCTAACATAATAGCTCCAGCCCCGTCTTAACCCTGTAATGCTAATGGCAATGTTGTACTCCTCAGTTTTGCTCTTTACTTGCCAAGCATTCTGGAATTTAGAGAGAACATAGTTGTTTCATATATACACACACATATACATACATACACACATGCACATACACCCATGCTAGTTGTAGTTACACAAAAGGTAGATAAATATCTATTGTATAACTACTGTAACTAGTTGATTTACATGTTGCTATGTTACATGGTTTGCAGCAATACAGAAAAAGCTTAACTCTATCTTCTAATATTGGACATTTAAATAATCAACTGTGAGTTTTGATTTGTGACCTATATCTGACAGTTTTATGGTAGTTATAAAGACAAAAGTTACATATAGAGACTAGAAATGCTGATAGAACCTTTATCATGCATTAATAGGAAATGTTGGACTATGCTTTTGTAGAAGTTCTTCATTCTTTTGAGAATTAAAACATACTTTTGCTAAATAGTTATTCCTAAGAAAGAACTGCATATGGATTTCACCCTTAGAAGGTGTTTATGTATAATGTTTTTGTCTTTTTAAATATTTGTTATGAAAGCACATTAAAATTCATAAAGGAAAATGTCATTTATCATTTGAGAACTTCTTTTGTAAATAAACTCCTATTATATAAACTAAAATAAATTCTAATTTATGTTTGTGAATTCCAGAAAAAGTTAACCTTATTTTAAAACATAATTAACACTAAGACCTATAGTTTGTTTACTGAGGATCAATGTTAGAGGAATAAATTAATACTAAATATAAAAAATTACATTTAATTTTATAAAAAAGGTAAATATAAGTCTTATTTGAAAGTCACTATTTTGATTATATAACTTCATACCTCCTTTGTTCAATATGTACAAATTTCAAAAACAATATAAAATATTGATTCTGTAGACGTTGTTTAAGATAACATTTGATATTGCCTAGATCTGTATGTCACCCAAGTTCTCATTTTTGACTTAGAGATTTAATTTGAAATAGTTTGAATAAATGTTATCCCTGATTATCCTCACAGCCTCTTAATAAGGATTTCACATTAAAAGATGTTGATGCAGAAATGAACAGGCATTTGAATGCACTTGACCACCTTAGTCTATTACTAATAACAGCAATGCTTAGATAATGTTTATAGAGCACTTTAAAGACACTGTGATAAGTATTTTACATAGATTATCTAGTTTAAGTCTTTAAAAAGTCCTGTTTAATAGGTTCTGTTGTTTATCATCCCCAACTGCATGATGAGATTGTAAATGACTGATTTACCCAAACTCACAGAGCTAGCAGTGGCAAAGCCAGGATTTACATCCAGCAGTCTGATTCCATAGCTTGCTTTTGATGATTGCGCTAAACTGCCTAGATATGGATTTTACTGAATAAATCTTCAAGTCAAGTAGTCAGGCCTTCTGTGATGATGATAAAGCTCTAAGCAGGGTATCCAACCCGTGGCCTGCGGGCTGCATGCTGCCAAGGATGGCTGTGAATGTGGCTCAAAACAAATCATGAATTTCCTTAAAACACTATGAGATTTTTTTGTGATTGCGTGCCGCAGTGTATTTAATACGTGGCCCAAGATAACTCTTCTTCCAGTGTGGCACAGAGACACCAAAAGGTTGGATACCCTTGCAGGGCATGATGCTTTATGTACATTATCAGCACTACACACAAACCAACTCTGCAGAAAAGCTTCGCATCTCCTACTTTATTGATGAAAAAAGTGAGACTTCTGAGTCAGTAGATCCCAGATTTTTGGACTTTATGGACAGCTTAAAAAAAAAAAAAAAAGTCTATGTATAGGACACAGTTGGAACCAGACATAAGGATCGCTAACTTTTAATTCTGTTAAAGGTTAATGACCTTTATTAAAACAAGTAACAATTTATCATCCCCATACTTTTGTCAAAGAAAGGACATTTTTACCACCAAAAAGGTAGGGACATCATAATTACAACATAAAGACAACGACAAATTTAGTGTTATGAAAAACTATATTACATTGTCCTAGTTTTTCTCATTTGGTCACAGACGAGTAAAAAATGTGTTCTCAACTAACACCAATTCAGGGAGCGTTTGGGAATGCTTGGGTGGCGAAGCCGATTCCCAACTGGCAATTACCTGAGTCCAGATTCAAATTCAGGTCTGTCCGAGTGCCAAGTCTGTGCTCGCTGTAACCGTTCATACTCCCTCTCTAACTTTGCTCTCCAGTGCACTGATGTTCTCCCTTCGCCCTCAGGTGGGGGGCCAGGGAGAGGAGTCTCCGGCAGACAATGGCCTAGCAGTTTCAGTCCCAGTCCCATCTGTAAACGGCACTTAGAGAGTAAGTTCTGCTGCTTCCCAGGGCAAGGCCTCAGCAATGCCACACCAGGGGGAGAAACTGCAGGTACACCTCAGCATCCAAGAAACACTCAAGGAAGCAGCTTGACTTTACTGTAATTTATTCAAAATTAGATGCCCCAGCTTCTTTTGTTTCCTGTGTTTACTTCCTTTATTTTCACAGTTCTTTTTCCATCATATCTGTATAACATAAGGAGTTAGGTGTGATTCCTCCCCTTCCCCATTTTATCTTTTGTCTTATTGCCTCCATCTGTTCTTAAGCCTACCTGTCTGTCTGTCTCAGTCTTTGGTTCTGATTTTGGCAGGTATTGGCTTTTGCATTAAGTTGTTTGTTTTTGGTTATACCTGCTTGTTTTAAAGACACCTGAAATTATAGTTGACCCTCCCCTGGCCAAGTGGATCAGTTGGAGCATCATCCCCATATACCAAAAGGTTGCAGGTTTGATTCCTGGTCAGGGCACATGCCTACATTGTGGGTTCGATCCCCAGTCATGGCGCTTATGAGAGGCAACCAATTGATAGATGTCTGTCTGTCTCTGTCTCTCTCTCTCTCTTTCTCTTTCTCTCCCCTCCCTACCCCCTTCTTCTCTCTCTCCCTTTCTCTCAAAAATCAATGAATGTAACCTCTGGTAAGGATAAAAAAATAACAATTTTTAAAAAATTATAGTTGACCCTTGAATAACTTGGAATGGACCATCCACACGGTTGAATATCTGTGCATAACTTAAGTTAGCCTTCGTATAAGCAGGTTTTCAACCATGAGTCAAAAATACAGTTGACCCTTGAACAACGCAGGTTTGAACTGTGTGGGTCCACTTATACACAGATTTAAAGCCATCGTGGATTTAGATGAGTTTGTTCATGCATCAGTTGTACTTTTATATTTTATTTTACTTTCTGTCACTTAGTAATAAAGTAATAATTTGAATGATATAACAGTATTCTTTAAGTAATTATATAACTTTTTGCATATATGCTTTCATTTGATTATTACAGTTATGAGGTAGATTTGACAGGTAGAATTATCTTTATTATACAGGCTAAATTCAGCATTTGATAGAAACAAAATTTTAAGCAGAGCTAAAAACAGGAGATTTCATATATCAGAATGTTGATCTTAAATTCAAGTACTTAAAGGAAAAATTCTGTTTCTCCCCCCCACCAAGTATGGATGTCTTCCCCTCATCCAACAATTCTTTGTCTTGCACGCACTGATAGGGTGTGCTTCAATTTCACTTAATTCTAACTCCATCCATCGGGAGATAGCTTCAGATTCTACAAGTTAAGACCTCAGTCCGAAAAGATTGCCCCTACTTCAGATGCCAGTTGCAAATCCGAGATTGTGATCTATACTTCTGACCAACCAGCTCCAAGTCAGGGCTTCCTACAACACCCTCTTCAGGTTGGATAATTTGCTAAAATGGCTCAGAGAACTCAGGGATACACTTAACTTACGTTTACTAGTTTATTACAAAAGGATACAACGGTTAACTAAAAATAAAAGGCCATAGTAAGATATCAGCTAGAATTATAAATGAAAGCGTTGTTTCAGGACATTGTGGATTTTTAGAAATGTTATATAATTTCTGGAATATTTATTGTAATAACAGTAACTTCCCTTTAGTGAGGGAGAGGCGGAGGGAGAAGAAGGGAGAGGAGAGGAAGAGCTCTCCTTTGAAATGGTGCAGGGATCAAGAAAAAGACTAATTTTTGGATTTGTTGAACATACAAAAGTTTCAACACACTTGATCAAGTAGCATTATCGGTTACTGTGAAACTACTTAATTATCATGATGACAAAGTTAAATAGTTAATAGTTGTAAGCAAAGTTTTACTCTTTTAATTTTAAGACTTGGTTTACCTACGCAATCAAAGATCTGATGATAAAGAGCATAGGGAATCATTTTTATAAAACAAAATTTTTGCTTTCTCCTTATAGTCTCTAATTAATAGCATACCAGTTGTACAGGAAAAGTTTGTCCTTTTAGCAGATGAAATAATGCTGAGGTTTAATTTTGTGTAAGTGTTATAAAATAGTTGGTCAGAACGCTGGGGGCTCTCCCCCATTCGCCAAGATGGTGGCAGGAGGAGGTTCTTACACTGAGCCTGGGAAAAGTTAGCAAGATAATTGGCTAGACGTTACCAGATGGAGGTGGGACCAGGGGAAGGTACAAGCACCATAGAAGTCAAAATGGCGTGGGGTAGAGGGAGAGGAAAGGAGAGAAAGAGGAACATCAGTTAGTTGCCTCTCACATATACACTCCAACTGGGAATCAAACCCACAACGTTTTTGGTGAACAGGATGACATTCCAACCAAACCGAGCCACCCAACCAGGGCATTCCCAGTATTTTTAATTGGCAATTCAATATTAAACTTTTTAACTCTTAAAAGCCTCAATTTCTAGTGAAAACTAAGTAATTATAAACTGTTACATCAGGTTTTTGTTTTTTAGGTTGGCAAATTAATACATTTCAGAACCTCTGGAAAAATAGGGTTTTTTTTACTGCAAGTATATTTCATAATTTTCAGAAACATGTGCCCTTTTTAATAGTACAGTCTTTCAGTCCAAATTTGTCTTTCAGTTTCTCTAAGAAGCCAAAAAGTAGATAGATTTTATTTCACAATTAATGTTTCAGTACTTTATTTTACTTGGAAATGATCTAAATATTCAGTAAATTTCCATTGTTCAATTTAGCCAGCAAACTTTAAAGTTTCAAGTCACCAAAAAATTCTAGGAAACTGATTCTGAGCACCAGCATTTATTTGAGATCCAAAAGAAATACAGCTGTATTCCCAAGGCTTTGATTGAAATGATATTGCAGGTAAAATCTGATGGCCAGTCATTGGCTTTAAGAGTTCACTCTGAGTTTCCTTATGAAAGGGTCCAGAAAGCAGTCTTAGAAAGAGATTACCATATTTTGCTGTGTATAATGGGCACTTTTTTTGCCCAGATTTTTGAGGGGAAAAATAAGGATGCACAGTATAGATGGCTCTAATGATTACATGTCATGGGTATAATAATTCTGCGTATAATGTGCACAAAACCATGGGTGCTCATTATACACAGGAGTGCAATATACACAGCAAAGTACAGTATATAGTCAGTCACTATTTTTGCTGCATTTATATCAACTATTTAAGCCAAGTTTAATGCAGACAAATTAGTTTTATTGTGATTATCATTGCTTAAAAAAATGGAGGTAATTGTAGAAAGAAAAATTATGTTTGCACCATTGTAGATACTAGTTTCTAGTCCTATTAATTATCTTCGAGGTTTTGTTATATACCTGTGCACTGGACTGGATCCTGAATTCTTCTTGTTTCATCCGGCTATGCTGTGGCTCCAAAGCGCACGTCTGACAGTGGGAGCTGCTCTGCTCGTAGTAACCATCACCACACACTGCCTTTGCTCAAAGGCTTTAATGCAGGTTCTCCGTGGTTCACCACGCAGCCAATGGTCTTCCTAAGACTGGAACAGCAGGAAAGGAATGAAGAGAATGACTTACTTAAAAAAATCATGAACCTGAAGTCATGACCACGATACCGTAGAGAATCAGAAAACAACAGAGAAACAAACAAAACGCGCGCGCGCACTCTCTCTCTCTCTCTCTCTCTCTCTCTCTCTCATCAGTAAAAGCTTTGAGAACTACAGAGTGGCAGCTGAGAGTGGTGCAAATGCCTTAGGTTTTAATCACTTCTCTCAGGCTGAGACTCTGGGCAGAATGGGAGAAATTGTTAAAAAATAAATAAACAAACAGACCCTTCATGGAGTCACTTGCCCCCAGGACAGCAAACCAAGATTTAATTGCAGTTTCAGTCTCGCCTAGGAATGTGACCTTTAACCAGCCAATGTGACATTTCCCAGTTAGCATTAGCAAGGTGATCTGCACGAGAGACCTCCTGCCCTTTCCCTAAAGGAAGGTGACCTGACCTGTGACAATCCTTTCTTTTCTTTTTCAGATTTTACTTATTTATTTTTTGAGGGGAAGGGAGGGAGAAGGAAAGGGAAAGAAACATTCATGTGAGAGACAAACATCGATCACATGATGTTGCCTGTCTTATGCACCCCATCCTGGATGAACCCACGAATAAGGCATGTGCTCTGACCTTGGAACCGAACCGGCAACCTTTTGCTTTGCGGAACAATGCCCAACCAAGTGAGCCACGCCGCTCAGGGCCCTTTCTTCGTCACTTCCTTGTCCCACCCCTTTTTTGCCTTAAACTACCCCCCTCCACCACTTTGTACATCTCCACAGAACCTTTCTGTTTGCTGGGTGAGATGCCCCCTGATTATTGAATCAATCAATAAAGCCAATTAGAATGTTCAGATTTACTCTGTTGAATTTTTGTTTTTTTAACATGCCCTTCCTGACATTAACATTTTTTGAAGAAAAGCAGTTATTTTGTGCTATGCCTCGTGACTCTTTTATTGTTACTGTAGAAATATATTTGACATATAATTGTGTAAATTTAAGGAGTGCAACTTGTTAGCTTAATACATTTATATATTATAATATGATTACCGTTGTAGTGATAATTAGTACCTGTCACATTGCATAATTATAATTTCATTTTAGTGGTTGGAATAATTAAGTTGTAGTCTCTTAGCAAGTTTGGTGATTGTAATACAGCATCGTTGTCTATATTCACTATACTGTGCATTAGATCTCTACCACTTATTTACTACTTACTGCAAGCTTGTACCCTTAAACCACATCTGACCTATTCCGCACCTCCTGTCCCCATCTCTTGTGATCTTGCTGTGCTTATGATGTCTTGTTTTTGTGGCCATATTTAGGTACCACATTTATATGAAATATCCAGAATAGTTAAATCCATAAAGACAGAAAGAAGATTGGTGGACAGAGGCACTGGGGGAGGGAGAAAAGCTGTTTAATGGGTACGGCGTTTCTTCCTGGGATGATGAAAATGTTTCAGAACGAGACAGAGGTGGTGGTTGTCTAATTGTGCAAAATGGGCTTTGGCTGCTTGTCACCCTTCGATAGGACCAGCGATCTGTGTTGAAGGAAACAGGTTTTTATTAACAGGGTCCAGCCTCCAGGGGGCTGAGAGCACCCGCTCTGAGCTCTTCTCTCCCACGGCCATTTCCTTGTCTGTCCTTAAGCGGGTCGTGCAGACAGACCTCCATGCTCTCTGGCATGGCACTCGCGGGTTTCAGAGCCGCTGTCTCCTTGCAGCAGCTCTCCCTTTCAGAATCCAGGGTGTGTTGCTCCCAGTCTCCATGCAGCGGTCCAGGAACCATGTGCTGTGCGTAGTGTCCCAGAGGCTGGGGCCCGGGGAGGCGTGCATCCCAGCGTGGGACCTGGCCTCCAGGAGTGGGCTTCCATCCCTGCGGGGTCTAAGGCCCTCGTGGGCCCGGCATCTGCCTGGTCAGCTCTGCTCTGACCTACCCCGTTACAGTTACACAACCTTACAGATTTTCTAGATCTCTCTGAATTGTTCAAAATTCAAAACGGTTATTTTTGTTACATGAATTTTACCTAATAGTTAACTTCTAAAAATCCCAGTGTTTAAATGGTTTTGCTTCCTTCACCCCCATATACAGACCAAAGATTGCTCAGCAAATAGAAATTCCATCAAAAAAACTTACTGCACCATGGTTGGTGTGGCTCAGTGGATTGAGTGCTGGCCTGTGAACCAAAGGGTTGTTGGTTTGATTCCCGGTAAGAACACCCGCTTGGGTTGCAGGCCAGGTCTCCAGTTAGGGGCTTGTGAGAGGCAACTCAGACTCCCTGCCATCCCCTCTCTCTCAAAATAAATAAAATCTTAAACAAAATTTATTGCATGACAATTGCAATGATTTCTAAGGAACTGCAAATTGATTTTTAATGGGAGAATTGATATGCCAAAAAATCTATTATATTCCTATATTCCTAGTGAATATTTAAGGTTCAATGTATTATGTACAGTTTTCCATTTTGAAAAATTCCCATGTTTGGGATGGATGTGAAAAGACAAAAATATGTTTCCTATCAAATTTGAGTGATTTTTAAAATATGAAATAACAGGTTTTCTAAAAACAGGAAAGTTTTAATACATTAAATTTAAACATTAACCATAGTATGTTAAAATTCTAAGTCTAGGTAAGAACTTTGATAGCTTCTCTTCCTCTGAATGTGTACATTCCAGGTTCCCTGTTACTTTGCCACCTTCAAGCTAAACTCTCCCAGTTATTTACATGAAACTCACATCACTCTTTACTAGATGTTACCTTGTTTCTAAACCTCCTCTTTCTGATGAGTAAGAGATACATACCTTGCCCACTCCAGTGGATTAGAAAAAGGGCAAATGTTTATTTAGCACCCTAGAGTAGATACCTAGGAGTAGCCATGATGATTATCCAAGGACTTAGAGTGTGGTCCGGAAAAGTAAGTCTTTGCCTTTACTTTATTGTTACCCTGTAGCAACCATTAGTCTATGGAAACATAAATGTATTTTGAAAAAGATTTTTCACACGCTTAAAGTTAAGCGCTCTCAATCTGCTTTTGAAAACTGACACCTGATGCACACGCAGTTCTATGTCATGTCTCTCAGCAGTGGCTCCCGTGCTTCGTTTTCCGCAGGTGAGAGAGAAGATGCTGTCACGGTTAAGGGTAGTTGCCGCTCCGTGTACCCTGGCATGCCGTCGTGTCCACACCAAAGAGAAAGGCAAGCCGCTCATGTTGAACCCCAGAACAAACAAGGTTAGTAACATCACGACTCACATACCTTTTCTCTTGTCCTGGTGATGGTTTGATTTGATATATTGTAGACTGATAAAGTGAACTTTCCTATTTTGCAGCTTTATACTAAAACTGTTCAGTGGTGTTTGCTTTTGCTGCATGAACGTTTCACTCTTCTCCATGTGGCAAGAATCGTGGCTGCCATATACCTCTCAGATTTCACCCTGCACAGCTTTCTACCACTAGGAAAGGACTGGCTTTACTTCCTAGTTCTAGCTCAGAAAAATCCCCAGAACAGCAGTCTGGCCAGGACTTCCGGCCGGGTGTGGGATGTTGCAGTGTACCAAGCTCAGGTCAGCTACTCATCCCAGACCAATCAGCTGGGCTTGGAAGATGGGGTCAAAATTGTAAAATGAAATTTGATCTAATGCCCGCCCCATCTTCATGCACCTTTTTGGACACAAATCAATACATGCCCATTGTATTGGACATGTACCAATACATGCCCATTTGTATTGGACACAAATCAATACATACACCCGTGCCCATTAATGACACCATTGCTTCAGAAGAGAGAGACCTCTGACCCTTCTTGCAGTCTTGGGGCAGAAGCGATGGGCAGGCCCATCACTGAGACCTCACTGTGCTTTTATTCCTTGTCCGTGCTGGCTTCAGGGGGCAGTCCCTCTCTATTTTTTAGGAGCAGCGGTAAGTAAACTAAACTGTAAGTAAACACAATTCTGGGAAGAGATTTCTTACAGGAAGCTTGCAAGAGGATACACAGGTTTATCGCAATATATGAAATATACCTTTTGAGAATGGTGCATTCAGATTAAGGTGTAGTTTATTTGAAAACAACAGTAAAAATTCTGCTAATCCCATTTATTTATCCCTTTAGGGAGTGGGGGGCGGGTAAGTACAGTAATTGGAAAATATGATATATTTTGAGGGGTTTCAGGCTTAGAAATGGAAATTTGACTATGGGTCACAGAGAGCACCCTATCTTTGCATTTTTGGTTCCTGGTCAGAATGAGAATTCAGCAAGCAGTTAGTGAAGTGAATGAAGCTTAATGAGGGAATATTCTAACTCTCTCTTATTTCTGCCTCATCTCCATAAATCTTACCTGCTCTTCAAATTGCAGCTCATTCAAAATCCAGTTCTGTAGAGCTTTTCACACCACCATAGACTGGAATAATTGCTCCCTTCTCTGAAACCCTGTAGCAGTTTTTATCTTCCTCTTCCTATGGCAAGTAATCTATATGTTGCTTCGTGCTTCCTTTCATGTCTTAAGCTGCCATTGAGATAATTGTATTTATGTTTTCATGACTTGATATTTCTTTTAACTATATTTCAGGTTCCTTTTGGGTGGGGACCATTCAAAATTTCTTTGTGTCTTTTATAATACCATGGGTATAGTAAGGCTTCGATAAATATGTTGGTTTTCTTTTATTACAGAAACTATATAAAACCTACTTGGGGGGGGTGGTTATAAGAATTTAATAAAGTAGGTTGTGGGAAACTAATTTCAGGGAGGAGGATCGTCTAGATGCATTTCAGTACTTTTGTTAAATAGAAATCTCATGTTCAGGACTTCCGAAGTCTCTAAGGCTGAATAGCATCTGTATGGTTACCTCCCTGGAGGACCACGTCTGGAAATCCCTTAAGTATCAGGAAGTGTTTCCATTGTTGTGGCTGTACGTTTAAGGAGAAACATAGACTAGCAATTCTCAATTTCAGGGTCATGAACTCCTTTGATAAGTCATGGGGACTTATGTCCATCAAACATTGTAGCAATAATTTTTAAAATGCCTATAAATACTGTTTGAAGAGTATGTTGCTGCTGTGATGAATAAAGTAGTCATTTAAAAGCAGTATTGAATTCTTAGTCTTTTTAAATGTTGTCTGTAGTCACCGTCTGCTGAAGGTGCACCTGTCACTATGCCTGTAAGGCCATCCCCCTGCCAGAGCCCGAACACCCCTTCCCTAGCCGCAGACCCCGCCCTCCAGGGGTGAAGGTCGCAGCCAGCCCTTCACAGCAGGTGCAGAGCTCCAGGAGACGCCAGCGTGGGGTCCTGCCTTTTTTTCTTAACGGCAGGTCTGGGAGATCTTTCTGTGACACACAAAGGTATATGTTTAGATGCGATGGTGTTTCGTAGTATAGAGATAGTGCAGGTTCCTTAACTGTTCTATAATTGATGGAATTTTAGTTTGTAACAGCCAAGAGAACTAGAAACAGTGCTAGAACAGTTTCTTTGTACATGCCTCTTTATGTGTGGATATTTATCTAGGATGGCTTTCTAGAAGTAGAATTGCTTTATTGTAGAGTATGTGCATTTAAAAAGTTAAGGTTACTTTAAAATTGTCTTCTGAAATTCTAAATCAGTTTACATTTCCAGAAATGCTCTGTGAAAGTCACTCTTTTACCATACCTTCTCCAATGCTAGATACGATCGATCTTATACATTTTTGACAGTCTGGGCGAAAATGATATCTCACTGGGTTTTTTTTTTTTTTAATTTATGTTTAAATTACATCTTCTGGGACATCACCACAGCCACCCTAGTAAGTTATAATTTTTAATCTTTTTATTCCTCCTTTTTAGGGAATGGCATTTACATTACAAGAACGACAAATGCTTGGTCTTCAAGGACTTCTACCTCCCAAAATAGAGACACAAGATATTCAAGCCTTACGATTCCATAAAAATGTGAAAAAATTAAGTTGCCCTTTGGAAAAGTAAGAATTGATTAGATGTTTCATTTTTGTTGATGTTCTGATCAGAAAATTGGGAGTATTGTGGTTAGCATGACATGAGAAACTTATAGTCTCATGATGAAGTTTGTGCTATAGTCGGTTAACTGTTACTTTCATAATGATGATGTTTTCTTCACTGCAGTGAATACTTCACTTGTTTTCCCTTTTGTAAAATGTAGCAGAAATCAGGTTTTTATGCTTAAAATCACAGAACATTTCAGGTTTGACTGGACTGTTAGGAGCAAAAGCTATCATCTAATTTACATCCATTCTGTTAAACAGCTTTTATTGATCACTTACTTTGTGTGTGCCACTATACTAGCCGCTGAGGATATAAAGTGGGTAATAAATAGGGTGACCATATACTATATCACTCAGGCCAGGACATTTTGGGAAGTGAAAAAGAGGGGGGACCGAACCTGGCCCCGGCAAACTAGAACGTACTGTGTCTGTCATTGTTCTCTATACTACAGTATGCAGGACAGTGAGAAAAAGGTACACGCAGACTATATACTGAAAGCTCAGAGATGGGCATGTAATCCAACTTGGAGAATCAGTTAAAGCTTCCTGGAGGAGGCGATGCCTAACTGATTTTTAAATAATATGTTACAGGTATCCAGCAAAGTGAGGATTAGGGGCAAGGTCTTGTGGGTAGAGGGGTCGGTTTAAATACAGGATTTAAAATGCCTGTTGCGAGTGACGTCAGAAGCATGGCCCCGTGAGAAGGCCCCCTGGTCTCTCCCCTTAAAGTTACAAATTGAACAGCTGCAATTCAACAAAGGACGTCCTGCTCAGCACACAGACACTCCTGGGAGATCTGCACATTGTAACACCTGAAGGCGGGCCGTCGGAGTGAAGCGGAGGCAGGGAGCGGAGATAGCTGCCTTGGATGCAGCCCAGGGCTCACGGTGGGTCTTGGGAGGGGAGGAATTAGGTAGCAGCGGCAAGCACTCTCTGCAGCCCTGAGGAGTAGAGAGGTAAGATCAGCGTTCCTGCCTGAGTGGTCGGAGTATGCTGAACCCCGGGACTGACGGGCAGGGACAGAACACAGCGCTCTGCCCCGCGCTGCTTTTGGGGAATAGGAATGTAGAACTGTGCATGAATATAGGGTGTTCTAGGCAACTCCAAGGCAAGAGTTGAGATGCATCAAGGAACTGAAGTAAATTCACTATGAAGATGAGGGTGAGAAGTAGAGGTCCTGATAACTATCTTAGGAGCTTAACTGGTGTTCAAAAGTCATTCAAGGAGGGTAGAAATAAAATTATGTTACAGTTCTGTTTTTAAGAGAATAGATTGGAGGAGAAGAATAAATTGTCTGTCTAAAGACGAGTTAGAAAGTCTTGACAGCCTACATGAGAAATGATGGCAGCTTGGACTGGGTCAGGGTGGAGGAAGGAAATAGATACATCTGAAAGATACTTAGCAGGTAGACCCTTATAGGACTTGATGATTCACTAGATTGGGGTAGGGAAGGGTGGGAAAGAAAGAAACCAAAATGGGCTTTGCAATTCCTGTTGGTTACAGATGATGACAGTAGAAGAACCAAATTTGGGGAAAAGAATAGTGAGTCAAGTTATAGACATACTTAATTCAAGATGATTTCTGTTTTTTTCAAGCCAAAATTTCCCTGCTTTCTAAACTTTATTCTTTAAAAGCTGTTATTTATAAATTTATGAATTGACCATTGTCCCCTTTGTGTTCCCTCTGTGCTCTATACAGACCTCGTAATGTTTAAACTCCATGAGGACAGGGGTTGCTGCTTATGTGCCTGGAGTTTAGAATAGCGTCTGACACGTAGTTAGTATTTAGTAAATATCTGAGTGCAAGCCACTTGGTTTTGGTTCCTTACGTGCGTGCCAGTCACCTTGGAGGTTCAGCTCCTCGAGGTTTGGGGTTTGGTGTCATGGTAATGTTTGCATTGCCAGTGCCTGGCCCAGAGCCTCACTCCGGGAAAGGACTCAGCGGCAGTTAGCTGTGGCTTCTGTGACTATTCTCTCAATCATCGTCATTATCACCTGCCATTTAAGTACATTTTAATTTGTGTTATTTTTTTACTCCTGGGTGTTACATAATGATAATTTAGGATTTTGCTTTCCGGGGCGGGGGCGGGGGGGCGGTGCTCAATTTTAGATAGTTACTTTTAACTTTCAAAGGACAAAACTTTGTAATCCTGGCTGATGCAGACATTATTTACTGTGCTTAATTTCAGATACATCTATATAATGGGAATACAAGAAAGAAATGAGAAATTGTTTTATAGAATACTGCAAGATGATATTGAAAATCTGTTGCCAATTGTATATACACCAACAGTTGGTCTTGCCTGCTCCCAGTATGGACATATCTTTAGAAGACCTAAGTAAGGCTTATTTTTTAAACAATATAATTGAAAATGATTATTGTATAGGAAAAAATATCATTCCATGACAGCTATTACATTCTATTTTATTTGTTGCAGTGTTATCTCAACCACATTTCCCACCTCACAAAAGCTTGAATTGAACAAAAAGGGATTAATAAAAACCCAACACATTTATATCTTTTATTTTTTTAGAAATAGCATCATTCTTTATTTATTTTTAGAGAGAGGAGAAGGGAGGGAGAAAGAGAGGGGGAGAAACAGCGATGTGAGAGAGAAGCATTTATCAATTACCTCTTGCACACACCCTACCCTGACTTGGGACCGAACCTGGAAGCCAAGGTATGTGCCCTGACTGGGGATCAAACCGGCAACTTTCCACTCTGGCAGACAATGCCCAATGAACCAAGCCATATCAGTCAGAGAGCAAGCATCACTCTTTCTTAACTTTCATTAAATAATGAATTGTTAGAGGAAATTTGCATTTTTGTACCAAAAATAAAGGTACTCTTTCTTTTTTTAAAACTGGGGGCAATTCTCTAGAATTATCATTAATGTTTTTGATATTAAGAGATTGATTCTAGCCCTGGCCAGGTAGCCCCGATACACCAAGGTTGCAGGTTTGATCTCTGGTCAGGGCACATACAAGAAGCAAGCAATGAATGCGCAAATAAGTGGAACAACAAATTAATGTTTCTCTCTCTCTCCTCCATCCCCCCCCCTTCCTCTCTAATATCAATAAAAAATTTTAGAAAGAGATTGATTCTCACTTTTTGTCAGTTTTCATTTGTCTGGTTTTGGTTTTTTTTTGAACTATTATAAATTTTAATTACACATAATTCTGGCATCTCCAAATATTTTAAGTGGAAAGAGACTGGAATGGACATTGACTCGAGTCTCGAGTAAGTTACTTTATCCCTCTGAATCTGTTTTCTCACCATAAAATAGCAATACCAGTACCTATCCAAGAGCTGCTGAGAAGGTCAGATGTGTGACTGATGGTGGTTTGTAAACTTAGAAGCATTTTATAAATGCTATTTTTACTTAATTTGAGTTTTCTTGTCTGGTCTTTTCCTCAATCCTTCTATCTTTCCCATGCCCTCCTTGCATATTGGTACAAATGTAGAAATTCAAACAATGTGTGATAGCATTTATCTTCAATCTCCCTTCATCTAGTCTAGTGGCTTTCAAACATTAAACGCCTGTGGGACTCACTTAAATGTTGATCCCTGCCAACTTTTCTTCTTTTTCATTCCCAAGATTCTGATGAAAAAGAGAGAGGTTGGGGGTCTGGATTTAATGACCACCATCGGTGGTGGTGTTGCAGGGACTCCCTTGGAGCCTCTTGGAGAACGCTGTCTGTTCTTTCCTCTGTGCTGCTATCAATGAGTGTGTCTGATACATTTCTGTGATAGTATCCAACTGTTCAGCTCTTTCATAGTTTCTCTTTCATGTAGAACACTGGTTCTCAATCCCGGCTAAAGGCCAGAGGGACACTTAAAAAAAAAGTACCGATGCCTGGGCCCCATGTGCAGAGATCCTGATTCAGCCACTCTAGAGTTGGGCCCAAGTGCTGGGGTTCCATAAAAGCTCCTGGTATGATTCTGATGGGCACCCAGAGTTGAGAACTGACATGAACCATAAGGAACACAGCTTTTGGGTGAGGGTAGGTGCCGTGTATCATTTACGTAGTGCACTGCTGCAGTTTTTGTTGGTCAGTAAATCTGATCTAAAACTCCAGGCCAGTTAAAGCAGAATCTATGGGGGTGGGACTCCAGCATTTTAAAAAAGCTCATCAGATGATTCTGTTGTGCAGCTGTGGTTGAGACACGGCTTATAAACTGATTTGAGCTAGGATAGTAATGCCAAAGTTAAGATACCAATGAGAAAGGTAGCTGTAAGAATCAATTTGAAGGCCCTTGGCAACCCATTGGCCCTCACAGCTGTCTAACCTACTTTTCAGAACCTATGTTTTGTTTCATCTGCCTCCCTCCCTCCTTTTCCTTTTATGAAATCTGGATTAATTATCCCAGTTGGATCACAGTATACTGTGTATTTAAAATAACTCTTCACTTTTTCCTAATGTTTTAAGGATGACCTGTTTTATGTGAAACTAGTTTTCTTTGCTATTCTTTCAAATTTCAGTTTTTCATTTTCAGTGAGTTTTAGCAGTAGTTTATTTAGCCTTTTTATGCTATCCTGCGTTGGTGGTTAATTTTTATGTTGCTTTTTATTGGGGGTGTATTGGGTTTATTTGAAAATGACATGTGGATACATTTTTTCCTTGCGTAAAATAATCACATCATTTAATGATAATCTTTGTTGTAACTACTTATGAGAACAATGCAATTACAGTTTGAAGTAGTTGAAAATGTTTAAAAATAAACCAGTGTGACTTTGCTAAATCTGCCTGGAAATTATACTGTAAATTATACTGTGTTTTATTAAAATATCTAACTATTCCAATTATGAACAAAGACTTAGAAAAAACAAAAACAAAAACAAAAAAACTCCTGTGAAATGCAAAGGTGTTTTTGTTCTGTTGCAGGGGATTATTTATTTCAATCTCAGACAGAGGTCATGTTAGATCAATTGTGGATAACTGGCCAGAAAATCATGTTAAGGTACTAATAGCACAACCTTCCTTTTCACAATGTTATTTCTTTCCTTGTAAGTTACCTCTAAATTTCCAAGAAGAGTGTTTCATTGTTGCTCTGATGTATTTTGCACTTACATACATGAAGCTTTAGTGCTCCGAGATCACAGTAGTAATAACTACAAACTGGGTTACTGGTATACAGTTCGACTTTGGGGAAGAAATTGGAGCTGGTACTCACGATGAGCTTGCTCACTGCCATCGCCACGGGTGTCTCCTGCCTTCTCTGTATTTCTTTTCTACTTCGATTAGTATTGATATTTTCTATTTTCATTAATATTAACCAATTAATAATACTATATTATTAAAATGACATAAAACTTTTATTTGGTGAGCAGTGGAGAGGATTCATTATGCTTTTTTTCTTCTAAATCTAAGATCGATTTAAATCCTTAAGCAAATATCAAACTCTTAGCATTTCAAATTTAGCAAATATGTTGGTCAATCTGGCTGTCTTGCATAAAATAAAATCTAATGACTTAAGATCTTGTTAGGCTCTAGTGTTTACTAGATGCAGTAATCTGACTTACCTTGATTACGTCTTCCTCACCAAAATAATCTTTGATGAATAATCATTAGTTCTAATAATCTAGAAAAAATTTGGTCAGATAATTAAACTCACACTATTATCTTCAAACCTTGTAGGTAGGTGTATTTTTTATTCTAGATCTTTTTCTCTTTCATCATTGCTAAGGTTTTTCTTGTTTGGCCTAGGTTGTTATGTTGGAGTAGCATGTTTATGTTTAAAGTCTTATTTTTCCCTTATGGTTAATCTCTTTATCAAAAGTTTGTTCTCTGCTTGCCTATTTTTTTCTTTGTGAGATGTTTAAGTTGATTCTCCAGTCAGAAGCACTCTGTTCCTAAACCAAAGACAGGAAATCAAATCTAGTTAATTCTCTTTTTGACATCTACTTTCTAGAAATCCTAGAATTTTAAGTATGCTTGGTTTGTTTATTTTGGAAGTTAGTCAAGAAGTAATTTTATTTTTAAAAGTGAAAGTAAAAATATCAAGAAAGTCTTTTTAAAATGCTTTTCTTTAATGTCCCATTCTTGACAAATTTTAATTTTTTTATTTTTGTAATGAAGGCTGTTGTGGTGACTGACGGAGAGAGGATTCTGGGTCTTGGAGATCTGGGCGTCTACGGGATGGGGATCCCAGTAGGCAAGCTTTGTTTGTACACAGCTTGTGCAGGAATACGGCCCGATCGATGCCTGCCCGTGTGTATCGACGTGGGGACGGACAATCCAGTGAGTGAAACCATCGCCCCTCTGATCCTCCTCCCATTCTAAAAAATGTTTTGGGTTACATTCCTCTTTTGAAGATAATACAAGGAGGGAAATTTTTGTGATTTGATGTTGGTCTTTGTCTTAAAACTCTGCTTTTAATACTTATATAAAGAAAAGTAAATTAAACCTATTAAAAGTTTCTTGAAGAAGGGCAATAAGGTTTAAAAAACTATATTAGTAATTTTTTTATTTTGCAATTTTTGTTTTAAAGACTATATTTAAACTGATTATGTAAAAAAATAATTTTATCCCTACATTTGGTCTATTTTATAGGCACTGTTAAAAGATCCATTTTACATGGGCTTATATCAGAAAAGAGATCGATCGCAACGTTACGATGATCTGATTGATGAGTTTATGAAAGCCATTACTGACAGGTATTTTTTTTTAAGTTCAAGTATATAAAAGCATCTTTAATTTAAAAACCAAAGCAATCCCAGTTTTGTTTTATTCCTTTATCTCTTATGAAGATAGGGAGGAGGTTAAATGTGGGGGAACCTCGGTTCTTTCCTGCTGATCAAACACGCAGATACACAGTGACACGCCCCACTCTGCCCGCTGTCCCGAGCCAGCCCACACCCTGGGGGCCGTGTGCGCCCCCTGCCTCCGTCAGGACCCCGCTGTCCCGCGCCCGGCCCTCGACCTCGGGCGCACTTGCACCATTCCAGTGAAACTCTGGTGCTGCTTCCGTGTTTTAACTTCACTCACCGTATGGTCCTCCTTTCTCTCCACCTGTCTGCGGCATCTGACCAGGTTTTCCACTCCTACATCCTGGAAATTCTCTCTTCTCTTAACTATGAAGATTTTCCTAACTTGGTCTTTTCACCCCCCTTCTCCTTTCTGCAGTCATCCTCACTGGTTCTTGCTCGCTTTTGTTAAACGTGAATGAGTACATGGCTCTCTTCTCTTCGAGTTGTGTAAGCTGTGACCTTTGTGCATGTAACTCCTAACCCCATGGAAACTCAGCTGTGTCATCTCACTCACTCTGATGTGTGTCTCTCCAACACCTGGGATTCTCCATCCAGTCATTCTGTTGCTCTTTCATGTTCATGTCCAAAACAACTCCTTCCCTTTCCAAACTGCTTATTTTCTGTGTATTCAGCCTCTATTAATGGCAGTAACGTTGACCCAATTGCCAAACCTTTGATCTTGGTATTATTTTTTGACTCTTCCTCCTCCTCCAATCCTCGAATCCAGTTGGTGGAACCACTAAAATGCCTCGGAAATATATCTTCTCTTTTCCATGGCTACAACCTTTCTGCACATTCTCTTCTTTCTTCTGGACTTTTCTAAACTTTTCTCCAGTTTCTTTCCTCTCCAGTTCTTCCCCATGTTACCACCAGATTAATTTTTTTCAAATGCATGCATACTTCATCATATCTTTTTTTGCTTGAAATCTCTAATTGGTTTTCTATTGCCACAGGGTAAAGTCCAAACTCTTTCCTTCTATGACCTAGCCCTGCCCTACCAGTTTAATTATTGATACATAGAGATATTAAAAATTAATTTCTTTCAGGTTCAAAGTTGACATATCTAAAACTAAACTTTGATCATCCTAGAAATTGCCATCTCCGTCACTTTTTAAACAAATATTTTATTTATTTACCTTTAGAGAGAGGGGAAGGGAAGGAGAAGGAGAGAGAAACATCGATGTGCTTGAGATACATCGACTGGTTGCCTCTCACACACCCCCACCTGTGGACCTGGCTTGCAGTCCAGGCATGTGCCCTGACTGGGAATCGAACCAGCGACCTTTCGATCCATAAGCCAGCACTCAATCCATTGAGCCACACCAGCCAGGGTCCCACTCTTCTACCTTAGACAATCAAATGGTATCTTCTTAGTGGTCCAGGTTGCCTTAGTGTTTTAACAAACTTTTTCCTTACCTGCCAGTTGGTCCTCCTCATCAAGTTCCGTTTGTTCATTCTAATGTCTCCTAATTGTCTCTTCTACTTCCTATCGCTGCTGCTTCAGATCTTTTTGTCCTCACGCCGTGGTAGCCTCCTAGTGCTGCTCCTGTCTTTCTCATCTCTCCCCACACCGGCAGGCGCCACCCATTAGTGGCAGGCTTAGTGTTCCTAAAGGAGTCTTACATGACTCCTTTCCCTGCCTGAAGCCTTCAGTGACTCTACATCAGATATAGAATAAAGTCCCCATTCCCTAAATTGGCATTCAGGGTTCTCCCTTATCTGACCCCAACTTGCCTTAACCAATTTTTCCTTATCTTTTTATATAAACCCTGAAATATGTAGCCAGATTATTGAAAGTTTAGGGTCACCTAAATAAATACACCTTGCTTTTCTTCCCACCTCTTGGAATGCATTTTCAGTGTCTTCTGCAGACACTGAAAATCGCCAGGTGGCCTTAAATGAACTAACTGTATTTTTTTAATGCTATCATAAGGCATATTAGACAGGGGAGCTTTTTAGTAGTGGTTTTTCAACACAGCCATTATGGATTTTGCTGTTTTTTAGATATGGACGGAACACACTTATTCAGTTTGAAGACTTTGGAAATCATAATGCATTCAGGTTCTTGAGAAAATATCGAGAAAAATACTGTACCTTCAATGATGATATTCAAGGTAAAGCAAAAAGAACTTGAGGATTTTTGACCTTTACTTTTTAAATCCTTATTATGTGACCATTTCTTATTTTTAAAGATCTTTATTTTCCTTGTAGGGACAGCTGCAGTAGCTCTAGCAGGTCTTCTTGCAGCACAAAAAGTTATTGGTAAATCAATCTCAGAACACAAAATCTTATTTCTTGGTGCAGGAGAGGTAAGCTTTATAAGTTTTTTTGAATTTAAAACCAACGCTTTTCTTCAGAATTGGAAAACGGGGCATAATGAGCTTATAATTTTGTTGAGCAAGATAGGGAGATCTTATAATTCAAGATTCCTGCTGTAAAGTAATGTAAAATATGCTTAGAGAGTATCACAAAGAATCAACTTTTGTGTGATTTGTAAGGGAAGAATAAACCAAATATTCCTCAAACATTAATATATAAAGTAAGTCAAGCATTGCAAGGTACTCTGGTCTTTACTTTTTAAATTTTTCTTCTGTTGGACAGGCTGCTCTTGGAATTGCAAATCTTATAGTTATGGCTATGGTAGAAAATGGCATCTCAGAAGAAGAGGCACAAAAGAAAATTTGGATGGTTGACAAGTTTGGTTTATTGTTTAAGGTAAGATTTTTAAAACTTGGAGAAGCAAAAGAATGTTATGACGATAATTTTAGTTTGATTTCTAAAATACTATCAATTTTTAAAATGGTATCTCAGTGGACTGTCCAAATTGTACTAGTTGGGGACCTTCCAGTATATTCTAAACAGAAATCTACCAGTCTCAAACTTTTGTTTTTGATAAAGCCTCTTGTTTCATAGTCAAATCATAATCTCTATATTGGCACCAGACCCGTTCGTTCTTGTTTTGATCTTTGACTCTTAAGAGATCAAATAATCTTACAAATAATATTGTACTCTTCTGATATTAGGTTTTTAATGGGAACTCAGAAGATTGTAATTCAGTTGTTAGCAGGACATCTGATACTTGAGCAAAAATTTGTTAACCGTTTGGCAATCATAATCCTTTTAGCAATCTAATAGAAATCTATGCACACTCACCCTAGAAAAGGGCACGTATGCTTAAAACCTTCATGGATACTAAAGAGCTTCTGTCTCAGATTGATTTATTATCCTTTGGACACACCTGCCTTCCTAGAACTGATTGCCATTTTATTAGCTTAAGAAATACCTTGTAGCTTCTACTCTAACACATTGAAATGTAGGTAAACTGTTTCATAATTGAACCTACCCTTGTCCACAGTGCTGTTGTATTTTTGCTTTAGATAATAATAAAGCAGTTTTTCATCATGTACATCTTTGGAGCAAGCTTATCTCAATGTACTTTGTTCCTATTCTGAAATCCTTTCTTCCTAATTAGTACCAAAATTAGTACAAAAGATAAAGTGAAAAAACTAAAGTGTGTGAGTGAAAAGTCTTGAGGGCTTCAATTATGCAAAATTTAAAATAATAATTGTTTAAAATAAACTAGACATTGTGCTAAAACTTTGCATTTATTATTCCACTAAACTTCTCAAAAAGCCTATGGAATTTTACAAATGAAGAAACTGAGGTTGAAAGAGGTCAGGTGACTCTTCTAAGGTTATCAGCTTATAAGTTATGGAGGTAGGATTGATACCCAAGTAGCCCGTGAAGCCTGTGCCCTTAACATCTCAGCCGAGTTCCCTCTCGCTGAAACTGCTATATTTGCTTGTGAGTAAGGTGCCAGGGACTGTGAGGCATACTTTAGAAGGCCATTAGGAGGATGCGTATTTTTATTGGTACACAGGTTAGTTTGGTATTTTTTTTTTTGTGGTGCTGGTTTTTACAAACGTTTTGTGATTCTTTATCATATTGGTCATCAGCCAGGTTAGAATGAATGTAGTAGTAGTTAGCGCTAGTGAGAATCCCATTGACCTGCAGGTTCAGAGTGAATTTTCCTTTTAGTCTGTAAGTAGCTTGGCCTATAGATTTTAAGCTCCTAGTCTCGGCTGGTGACCCCAAACACTGCCCTCCTTTGTGAGACTTTCCTGTTGCACCACCATATCGGAGAGGGTGGTCCTCCTGCAGACAGTGTTAAGAAGCTGCTGTTCTGAAAACCTTGGTTTGGTGAGGCTCTGTGTCGGTCCTTTAGTTAACTTCCCAGCCAACCAGCCAATGATGTTTCATAGTCAAATCATGGTGTGCAGCTCTGGCCAGCCCCTGCTGGCTCGTATGTGGGGTTATTCTGGAGCTCTGATGGAAAAATTCACCTTTGCTTCTCTTTCGCCAAAATAAAGATACGGATTTCTCAGCCTGCTTAGTTTTTGCGTTTAGTACGCTGAGAAATGTTTCATTGTTCAAATTTGTCGTGAGTACCTGTCTTGTACTAAGGATTTGTTTTTCATAGTTTTTAGAGATTTGGGGAGGAAAGCGTGTTTCTTCATGCAGCCATCTTGAACCAGTATTCCCTGTTCCTCTTGTTTCTGAACTCTTGGTAGTACAAGTGCAATTCTGAAATTCTAAAAGCCCTGAAATCCAAAAGTTTTTTCTGAAGTTCATTTATAAACAAATTTGACTGACCTGAACTTACCTGCTAACAAAACCAGAGAGTCTATTTTTAGTCTTAACCTTTTGTACTTGGGGTGATCGTTCATAAGCTTTCTTCCGCTGTGGAGTACCCATTGGGAACTATTTGTAATATTTGATATATTACCATAATAATTCCTAAAATGTGAAAAATTCTGAATTCCAAAATACAGCTAGCCCAGAAAAGGGATTGAAGAACTTTGTGTCATATTGAATATAGGAGGACTTCACAGAGTTTCTAGAGGGATCACAAAGTTTCTGGTAATAAGGGGATTTGATTTTTGTTTGATATTTGGGTTTATGGACACTATGAAGATAGATCAGAAGATATGGATTGAACGGAAAAGTAAATGAAAATTCATTCCTATTGTAGGAACCATATGTGACTCATAATAACATCTTTTCAGTTAATCCTCAATAAGAATTTACCAACAATACTGTATTTTATGTAAAAATTCAGGGGCGGAAAGCTAAAGTAGAGAGTCATCAAGAACCATATGCTCACTCCGCCCCAGAGAACATACCTGATACTTTTGAAGATGCAGTAAATATACTTAAACCTTCAGCTATAATTGGTAAGTAAAGTTGCTGACCTTACTTTATGTTGCCATTTATAACTTACATGCATGGTTATTAAAAATGAAATGATAGATTTTACCTAGCTTTCCACATATATGATGTTTTCTATAATAACTTTGATTACAGTGTGTAAAGAAAGTTCAGTTAAATGTATGTTGTTTATATTTTTAAGTGCTAGAAGCTATGGGATTGATTGTGCTTTGCTTTTAGAGTTGGTATGACTGGTGGGCTCAAAACCTAAAAAGACCAAGCCTATTTGACACACTGTACCCAGAAAATTCTATGCAGAGTCAAAGATTTTCCTTGGCAACAAAGCTGAAGGCTTTTGGTACATTTTGAGTCAGGCATTGCACAGCTCATACGAGACTATGCCAATACAGCAGTAAGGGCACAGCAGAAAACATGGCAGCCTTTAAAAGAGAGCTATTTCATTTCCAGTGTAGCTGTAAGATTTGAATGTACTATTTTTCTTTTAACCTTATGTGTTTTATGTAGGAGCCTTATTGAACGCTAAATAGCAAAACAATCACAAACAGTAAGTTTCTATGATCAGAAAAAGTATGTCTTTATTAGTTTCTTCATTGATTAGAACGCATAATTTTTAGAGCAAGAAGAAATTTTAAAGATCACCCAGTCTAAGAATCTGTCCATTGACTTCATCCCTGGAGGGTCAAGGAAACAAAAAGAAAAAAGATTAATTGTTTTAGAACTCGTGAACTCCTAAGAATATGTCTGTGAACCTCCATGTGGAGAAACACTGAGTATAAATTCCTTTTTCACATGAGAAAAACAGGCATGGAGATGTTAAGCAAGTTGCTCAAGATTTGTGACTATTTCAGAGAGCGAGGAGTGGCAGCAAGCACTAAAACTGGTCTCCAGCCAGATCAGTATTTTTCTGTATTACACGTACAACAGAATTAAATTAACTGTTTTGACCATTGAATGTGAGTCTCCTTCCTGGATGAACTGGGTAAAAGCTCTGTGGAGGCATCGCTTAGCCCAGACTCCCACCGTGGGTTCAGCATCCTGCGCGTATGCTGTGCTGCCTTTAACACTGCATACTTAGCATATTACAGGTTTTCTGATTTTCTCTTTTTTTTATTTATTAAAAATACTTTATTTTTTTTATTTTATTTTAATTTATTTTTTCAAATACATTTGTCTCTGCCTACTCCCCACCACTTTCCCTTGCCCCCTCTCTCCTTCCCTCCCTCAGCTCTTCCCCTTTGGTTTTGTCCGTGAGGCCTTGCTATATGTTCCTTGACTTTCCCCTTCCCTTCCTTTTCCCCGCCCCCCTCCCCCCTCCTTCCCTCTTGTCTCTGTTGATTTCTTTTCCTTTCAGTGTTGCTGGTCTTATTTTCCTTGCATCTTTGTATTGTTGGTTAGGTTCCGCTTATAGGTGAGATCATATGGTATTTGTCTTTCGCCCCCTGGCTTATTTCGCTTAGCATGATGCTCTCCAGTTCCATCCATGCTGTCATGAAGTTTAGTAGTTCTTTTTTTCTTTCTGCTGCGTAGTATTCCATTGTGTATATGTACCATAATTTTTTGATCCAGTCATCTACTGATGGGCATTTAGGTTGCTTCCAACACTTGGCTATTGTAAATTGTGCTGCTATGAACATTGGGGTGCATAGGTTCTTTTGTATTGGCATTTTGGTGTTCTCAGGGTATAGTCCCAGCAGGGGAATCGCTGGATCAAAAGGCAGTTCAATTTTCAGCTTTTTGAGGAAATTCCACACTGCTTTCCACAGTGGCTGCACCAGTCTGCATTCCCACCAACACTGGTACTAGGGTTCCCTTTTCTCCACAGCCTCGCCAGCACCTGTTGTTTGTTGATCTGTTTATGATGGCCATTCTGACCGGTGTGAGGTGGTACCTCATGGTGGTTTTGATCTGCATTTCTCTGATGGCTAGTGATGCTGAGCATCCTTTCAAATGCCTCTGGGCCCTCTGCATCTCCTCCTTGGTTTTCTCTTTACTTTGTTGTTTTTCTCTCAACTAGAAGCTGCCTGCGTTATACTCATTTTTATGTCCTAATGGCGTAATACAATGTCTGAGGCATTGTAAGGGCTTAGTAAAGACATTAAATTGAACTGTATCAGGAAAGTGGGTTGCTTTAGTCAAGATGATCTTTCAGTCCCTCTGAATTCCTGTAATTTTGTAACAAGTACCCCAGACTTTAACAACTTAACATTTGAATTGCAAGTTTTCAGTCTTCTTTTTTTAAAACTTTTAATTGAGGTAAAATATACATAACTTAAAATTGGCCGTCCTAACCATTTCTAAGTGTACAGCTCAGTGGTGTTAAGTGCATTCACATTGTTATGCAGCCGATCCTCAAAACTCTTGATCTTGAAAAACTGAAGGTCTGTACCCCATTAAACAACAGCCACATTACCGCGGCCCCTGCTAACCACCGTTCTACTTTCTGTATCTATGAATTTGAGTACTTTGGGTACTTGCTGTAAGTGGAATTATACAGTATTTGTCTTTTTGTAACTGGGTTATTTTACTTAGCATAACATCCTCAAGGTTCATCCGTGCTGTAGCAAGTTTTATCATAATTACACATAGTAATGGAGATAGTCTTATACTCTTTTTTTGTCACAATTTACCTATGTCTGAGGTGAACAATAAATATTTTCAGTGAAAACTTCGCATTTTATCATTTTTCTTTTCAGATTTTTATTCTATTACTGTCATTCCCTTACCGTTGCCCCAGTTTCCCCCCTTTGCCCTCCTCTACCCAGCCCCCCCGGCTCCCACAGTCGTGTTCCTTGGCTGGTCCCTTCCCCCTCTTGCCACCATTATCCCTCCCCTCTCTTCCCTCGGACTTCTGTCGGTCTCTTCCGTGTGTCCATGTCCCTGCTTTTATTTTGCTTGTTAGTTTATTTTGTTCGTTAGATTCCTCTTATCAGTGAGATCGTATGGTGCTTGTCTTTCACTGGCTGGCTTATTTCACTGTGCATAATCATTTCCAGTTCCACCCGCGGTGTCTCAAAAGTAGGAGCTCTTTCTTTCTGCTGCCTAGTATTCCATTGTGTAATGGTACCACAGTTTTTTGCTCCACTCATCTACTGATGAGCACTTGAGCTGTTTCCAGCACTTGGTTATCATAAATAACGCCAGTATGAACATAGGGTTCCATATATTCTTTTGAATTGGTGTTTTGGGATTCTTAGTCTTTTCCGATTTGAGATCGTGTTCTTGTAACATTATCACTGCAAAATCTGTCTTTGTAATCGGAGTTAACCTGTGCTTTTGTTATGTTAAACCTATTGTAGAAATGCTGTTGGTAAGAATTGCTCTATTTTACGTGTAATGAACTTGGCTGTTTTTCGTCATATTTGTCCACAGGAGTTGCGGGAGCTGGCCGACTGTTTACTTCTGGAGTAATCAAAGCCATGGCTGATATTAATGAAAGGCCTATCATATTTGCATTAAGTAATCCTACAGCAAAGGCTGAGTGCACAGCTGAAGAAGCATACACACTCACACAGGTATCAATCAATAATAATATAATTAATTGGTTCTGTCTCTTATTTCCCTTTATTAGCCTGTCATACGTTTCTTGCACAGTTTTCACGGTTATTCTGGAGATTACAAGATGCGTCCATGGATCACGAAATTCTGATATTAATTATTACTTATAACAATTCTAGAAAGTAATTACCTCATAATTTCATTTTTTAACACCTTCATGCCTTTTGTGATGTTGTTGTACTTTTTAATTGTTTATTTTAAACAAAAATTATTTATTTAGATTTACCTACATTTTAATATTTTCTATTCCCATTTGTTTTTCCTGCACTTCTATGCCTCAATCTAGGATCATTAATAGGAAGAACCTCCTAGCAGAAGAACTTTCCTTAATATTTGTCTGATGACTTTTCTTGATAATGCTTTTATTTTGAAGGATATTTTCACTGTGTGTAGAAGTAAACGCTGGTAAATACTTTATTTCGGCACTTTGAAGATATCAGTCTATTGTTTTTCTGACCTTGCTTTCTTTTTGATACATCATTTTGTCTCGGGTTTAAGCAGTTTTACTACAGTGGACCTAGGTGTGGTTTTCTTTGTACTTATTCCGTCTGAGAATGTAGAGCTTCTGAATCTGTGGCTCAGTGTCCTTTGCGGGAAAGTCATTCTGGTGGCATCTCCAGTTTGGTCACATTCTTGCTCTCCTGTGGTCCTCCGTTGAGATGAATGTTAGACTTTCTACCTTGTGCCATGTGCCTCTTACACTGTCTTCCAGGTATACCATCCTTTGCTCTTTGTATTTCAAACTGGTGATTTTCTTTACTTATCTTCCAGTTTGTGTATTCTCTTTTTAGCTGTGCTAATCTGTTGTTAGGTTCTTAATTTTATTGTATTTTTTCACTTGTTAGAATTTGCATTTCATTGTTTTTATAGTAATTTAATGACAGACTTAAAATTGCATAGTATAGAAATAATCAGTTTACAAATACTGCTTTCTTGCCTACACAGTTCATGAAATAATTCTTATTATACTCTTTCAATATTTCTTCAGTGGAATCACTTTCTAGATTGTTCTTGTTAGTGATCTTTAAGTGGCTCTAGGGAGTGATTTTTAAAGGCTTGTTTACAATGGTATCCATCAGTAATCATTGTTAGCTAATGCCTAGATAAGAGTAAATAATGAGTAATCATGAGAATAATGAGTAAACCCAGTCCTTGTCTTTTTGTAAGCCTAATTTTATTTTTAACTTTGCTTCTTTATCGAGTTCTAGATAGTGTGGATGAAGACTTGTTGCAGTAGTTTGAGTCTCTGAATGAAGTTAACTTCCTCCAGAAGGGCATTACCTTTTCCTTTGGTGGCCGCCCGCCTGGGGTAGCTCATCCTAATCCCATCAGGACGTAGTCCACCCGTGAGGCCTGGTCCGTTTTCATAGTTTACCCTTTCTCCTGACGTGCACCCCTTTGGGTAGGAATCCGAAGCCATGAGGTGTTTATCAGCGCCCCTCATCGGTAGCCCTCTCTGAACTTTACTTTTTCTCTCTGATACCGTGAGACGCCAAGTAGCTTTGCTGCTTTGTTGCCACTGCCAGCCACAGCTTTTGTTTTTAAATCAGCAAACACCGTGAAGAGGAAGGCTTCCAATGCTGTGCGTCCACATCTCGCTTTTAACTTCTTTGGGATCGTAAATGTTTCCGACCTTCAAACTCTCACTCTCTTGGTAGTAGCACACCTACTGTTTTGAAAAATATTTTGAATTTATTTTTTTTCAGTTTTTCTCATTCTTACCAGAGGGAGAGTTGGTGTGAAACAACCTAGAAAACCATTGCCAAAGCAGAACTCTCTCTCAGAGCTTGCCAAACTTAACATTCATGCACTTGGTATCATTAGCATTCTTTTTCTCATTGTTAAACATTTTAGTTTGACACATATTCTCTCAAAATTTCTTTGCTTCTCTGTCGCCACCCTGTGTTGGTCAAGATGAAGCCTCTTAAATACTGGTTTCCAACAGTTCTAATGATTATTGAAATCTTTTCATTTGAAATCATCCTCCAAGTCAGTATATAGATATTAAAATAAAAATCAGTCTCCTTAGTATACTGTCTTACCTTTTACCAAAGCATGGTATTACTTTTAACTTGATTGCTCATCCTATTCACCAGTCTTTACTATTTAAAATTAATGGCTACTGCCCCCGCCCCAATTACATCTTAGTTTTATATAGTGACTATTGGATAAATACACCCGATGTATCATGACTTTGGCACTTTTAAGGTACAAAGAATTTAAATGTTTTGAGCAGTAGTAGTAAGTCACTAGAAGACTATACAAACAGTTAATAATTTTATTTTTTGAAAGCATAAATATTATTTTAAGACGTACATTATTGGAATGAGTAAAAACTCCCCAAGGAGACTAGTTTCACATACTGTATTTCACCAGTTTTGAAATAAAACTTTTTTTCACAGTTTTTATAATTTTGAAATTGTGTTATCTCTTAAAAATGATAAAAAGCATTTCATCGAGGGAGGGAGTGTAAGGGGACTAAATGCTAATGGAAAAAAATACAATGAAGATTAAATTTTTTAAAAAATATTTCATCAGAGTTTCATTTTATGTAATTTCTTTCTTAGTGTTACATAAAATGATGACACATATTTGTGCATTTGCAGTCCCCTCTTCAACTTTGAGCCTCCTGTGCTTTCAGTGGAGAGATGTCTTGGTGCTTCTCTCTCACTCTCGCCGCTTAGTGAGCCAGCGGCAGTTGCCCACAGAACAGACAGGCCAGCTTGGCCTTCAGAATGAGAACGCTGTTATCATTAAGATCTGGCCACATTTAAACAATAGGTGGAGTATGATAAAAACAAATGAAAAAGACAGCTTGGGCAAGATGAACTGCTGTAGAATATTGCCATTCTAGAGAACATTCCCAAGATCTTTCTAAATCTCCAAATTTACTGGTATCATGAGGACATATTGCTTTTCCAATGAAGTACTATATTGCATAATCCATTTTATAAAGCTATTAAAATTAATGGTACCACCATAATCTTTATTATTATATACATTATTATTATCGTGGTAACATGTATGGCATTAACCAGGTACTAATGTTAATGTTCAAAGAAACAAAGTTTTTGTCACAAGTAGAGCTTTGCCTAGAGAATGATAAGCACTGGCCAGGCGCTCAGTTGGTTGGGGCGTCATCCCATAGACTGAAAGGTCGTGGGTTCCATCTCTGGTCAAGGTGCATGCCTAGGGTGCTGGTTTGATCCCTGATCAGGGTGCGGACAAGAAAGCTACCGATTGATGTTTTTTTCTCACATTGATGTCTCTTTCTCTCTAAAAGCAAAAAAAAAAAAAAAATTTAAATATTTTTTTTTAAAGTCCTAGGGTGAGGATTAAAAAAAAGAGAGAGAATGATAATAGTTGTCTGTAGAAAATATATAGTTGTAGGTCCAAGCTAGTCACCTGAGCCCACCACTAAACATGTAGCTAACTTGCTTCAACACTTAAATCCTGTGTATCATTTTGAAATTGAAAGTATGTCCTGTAAAGTAGTAATTACTATACATTATGGTCCTTCAGATCACCCATGCGTCAAATTCTTGAGTGTTAAATGCACCAATGCTAAGGGTCTGCTATACTTCAAATATAATACTAAGATATTACATTCTTAGTATAATTGGTATTTTAGATTATTAGACAATTCTGTCGAATGTTCAAGTGTCCATCCTACTGTGTGGACATAGTTCAATTTGTTTTATTTTTGTAAGTCACCTTTTAACTTAATCCAAGAAGCTGTTTAAATAATATATTATATTATTGTAAAATAGGTTATCCTGTTAGAGAACTATTGTTTTCTTCTTGTTCTTTATGTTACTTTTTGCCAGGGAAAGGCAGGGGTGATAGAGTTTGTTGGGAGGGGGGATTACATATAAAGGATTTTGTTTAATAAAATAATGTTCAGATATTTTTCAGTTTCACAGGCATGTACTTCTCTTAGAATTACAGAATGTACCAGTAACATTTATTATATGCCATTATAGAACACAGTACTAAAACTGATGATTACAATAAATTTGGAGACTTTTTTTTTAACAAGGCAACATGCCTTTCTTTTCTTCTGGGATTAATAGTGTGGTATATCAATGCCTCTTTTCTAAACCGGCTCACTTGGGGGCATTATGGCATGACAGATAAAGACCGTGGCTTTGGAGTTCTAAGCGTCTGAATTCCAGTTTAAACGGCTGCAATGGTGCCGTGTGACTTTTCACAAAGGACTTGGAAATAGCTGAGTCTTTGTTTTCTCATTTCATTTTGTCCGTGAAATCAAGGTAGTGATAAGCTCATGAGGGTTTTATGCAGGCTGAATGAACTGAGTTAACACTCAGAGGGCCCCTGGTACCAAGCCAAAGAGGGCAGATGCACAGCAAATGGTAGCAGTTTAATTTTGGATGCTTTCCCCTTCCTTCACAGGTATTTACACATTGGCCATCTACATTTTAAAAGTATTTGAAAGGAAATGGAAGTGTAAGGTTTTTTAAAAATTATTAATGGACATTTTTCAATTTGAATAAAATAAACATTCTAATAAGGATTTTAATGATGTGATTGTGGTATATAATAAATTATTCTTGTTTACAAATAATATGTTGCACTACTTTACTATAGGATTTAATCTTGTCTAAGTTTACCTCAATTTTTTAGTCCACATAAAGTAACAAAATTGAGCTTATATCATTTCTTAACAGGGAAGGTGTTTGTTTGCCAGCGGCAGTCCGTTTGGGCCGGTGAAACTAAATGACGGGCGACTGTTTACGCCAGGTCAAGGAAACAATGTATATATTTTTCCAGGTAAACAAATGTCACTGTTATTTATGTTACAGAGTAGCAACTAATGACATATAAATACTTCATGAAATTCTTTAGAGTTTAAGATTAAAGTGGACAACAAAACATACCAGATTTTAGTATGACTGTACAGGGAAATTCAAGGAATTCAGCAAATCCACCTTGCTCTATTTGTCTTGAAAATTTACTCATATTCTTTGTTAAACTTGTTTTTATTATAGAAATAACGTAGTACATGGCTCATAAAAATGCAAAAGGAACAGAATGGCATAATGATACAACTCTCCTCATTTCCCCTGGGTACCTCCTCATCTCAGCTCTCAACCATAGCCGCTGTCAGTGGTGAAATATAAGCAATAGTGCACATTGATGTTCTAATACTTGTTTTCTCTCTCTACCACCCAATTTGTGTCACTGCAACTTTTAGTTTTCCTAGTAGTTACCTTTATCTTTAGGTAACACACTTAAAGAACTTTTGTTAAACAACTCAAGACAGTTTTCATTAGCTTCCCACAGTGAAAAATGGAAAAAGTCTGTGTTTCTTATTTCATCTCTCACTTTTGGTTAGTTAATATTACTCATGGTAGAGAGCATTTTTTAGACATTTATGTCATCTTCCATGCTTTGTCTATAGATTGGCTCTGAAATTAAATGATTTGTAAATGTTATTTACCATCTCAACCTGAGTGTAATTTGATAAATATTGTATAATACTCAATTCTGTATCACAAAATTTTAAGTCATTCAAGTGTCAAGTATATTGAATTCTTCTTTAATTTTTTGCTAGCTTGCTTCATTTTTTTTCTTGATACTACTCCACAACAAATTCTTTCTTGTGTCCCATGTTTCCTTATTCTCTCTCTTCTACGTGTGTGCTATTCCTCTCTGTCTTGATGCTATTTCTCTCTATATTAGTCTTGTTTTGGTTTTCTTTTTCTGGAATACATCTTTGTAAAATTTTTTATAAAAGCATGGAAAAAAATTTCCTGAGTTTTTACGTCTCTGAAAATGTCTTTATTTTGTCCCTTTCTTTGATGGTTTGGTTGGATGGAGATACGTAGCTTTGAAGTCATTCTCCACAGACCTTTGAAAAAGTTTCTCCTTTCACTTTTAGTGGCCAGTATTGCTAATGAGAAATCTGATATCAGCGAGATTCTCATTCCGTTATACGTGATAGCTTTATCTCCCTAGTAATGTTTAACAGTTTTCTCTATCTTTAAATTTGTGAAAGGTTAATGGGGATACATCCTGGTTTGGGCTTATTTTCAGTTATCACGTGTGTCTGCGGGTGGGCCAGATACCTTCTTTTCCAAAGGATTCTTTTAAATCTCCCCCCTGCCCAATTTCTTCCATTATTTCTGTGTTTTCCTTATGGAACATGTGTTAGACTGTGGCCAAATCCCTCTATTGCCCTTGGCTTGTAAATTTTATTTCATGGTTTCACCTCTGCCTATTTTATCACATAATAGGGGGGGTTTCTCTAGTGCTCATTTATTCATCTGTATCTGTTCTGTTTTTTTAGCACTTCTAGGTATGTTTTGTTTCAGTTGGGTTTTTTCCTTTTTATTATGGAAAATATTAATCATATACAAAGTCAGAGGTAAGGTTGAAATCCCATGTTCTAATGTCCCACTTTTTAGCAGCTATCAACATGTGGCTAGTCATATTTCCCAGAACTTGACCTTCACTGGGTTATTTTAAAGCAAATCAGAGACATCATATAATTTCATTCAAAAGCACTTTAGTACGTATCTCTATAAAACTAATTTTTTATTAAACATAACCATATTAGTGGTGTCATAGCAAAGGAAATTAACAATAATTGCTTAATTTCCTATGTACTCAATTCTGTCAGTTCAGCAATTTTTTAAATTCCTAAAGTTTTTTTTATATCCTAGAATCACTCTTTTTTTAATAACAGCTTTTATCTTTTTAAAAAGTTGCAATGTTCTTTCCAATGTCTCTGGAAAGTTAGGATTCTTTTAAGTATTTCTCCCTTTATTCTGTTTCTTTTCCATAAATTTCTGGTGATTCTTAGTTGCTTGTTTCAGTGAAAGACTATGTTGAGTAAGATAGGGATGTGACACAAATTTCCTTTGCACTTATGTCTTTCTCCTTGTTGGCTTCTCCCTGAACAGCTGACAACAGGCTCTAATTAAGATTTCCAAACAGGTAGATTTATACCATACGTAGGCTGGCTGTAAGTAAGCATGCTATAACAGTTGTCAAAGAAGACTTTAGCCTGTGAATATCCAAGTGCTTTTGTATATGAATTTTTCTCCTTTTTTCCCATATAGCTGTGGTTGTGTAGAGTTCTACCCTGCTTATCTCCTGAGACCTACCATCTGTAATAGAAACTCTCCCATCAATGATCGTATCTCTCTAGAACTTGATGATGTTCACATCAATCTAATCTATCCAACAACATTTCTGTGGTATAAAGGCATAGAGCATGGAAAGAATACTTTGCTGATTTTAACAAAGACATTTTTTATATCATGTTTGACTAATGAGGAATTTGGCAGCTGATGACATTTATGCAACACTTCTGTTTTTTTCTTGGCTTCTTTGTTTTTGGGGGATAGTGGTTGGGGTGGGGGTGGATTACTATTGACTTGCTTTAAATCTGGGAATTTATTTGGCTCTTTTCACAATTTGAAAAGGTAACTTACTAAATAAACTGTTTAAAATGTATTCTAGGTGTAGCTTTAGCTGTTATTCTCTGTAACACCCGGCATATAAGTGACCATGTTTTCCTAGAAGCTGCAAAGGTAAATGTTTTAAATATTGTTTGATTATTTATAAAATATGAATTGTAAAGGTTAAAAGTAGAAAGAAAAAGGGTTAAATCTGACTTGTGAATGGAAAGGAAGTTCCTCATCCATTGCTTTTTTGAGTTGCCCATCTACTTTTTCATAAAATTATTTTTTATCATGATTTTTCAAATGTTTGAGGGTAACCTACGAATCCTTTCACATTTATAACACATCTACTGCACCTATATTATATGTATGTGAAGGTAACATATTGTGACAGCATAGGTAAAATGTATGTCCTTGTGAGTTTTTATTGGCAATTGCTGATTTATTTGGAGTAATTAGAACTACAAACTTGGCAATATGAGTTTTGAATAACTCACATTAATACAATATTAATGTCCATTTTCATAGTTACTGTTGTAATCATGCCAAACTGTATGTTAAGTAAAATACATCAAGAAGTCTTTAAATATGGTTATTTCTTGTTTAGTGGTGAACAGTTTTAATTTCTGTAATAGTTTAACTGTATTCCTGCTAGAAGTAAGGGAATTATGTTACCTGTATTATTCTCTGCTCCCCCAACCCTTTTTTCTATTTCATCATGTCTTTATTATTCTGTATTATATAAACAAACAAAAGTAAAGTTTTGTTTTTCTCTTTAGGCACTGACAAATCAGTTGACGGATAAAGAGCTAGCTCAAGGGAGACTTTACCCACCTCTTGCTAATATTCAGGAAGTTTCTATTAACATTGCTATTAAAGTAAGTAATAGCTTATGCCTCTTCACATAAATTTTAATGGCATTTTCTTATGTAACACAAGTTCCTTAGAGAAAAATTTGAAACACTTAGAGGTTGCAAAGAAGAAATTTTAGGTCACCCATATTCTACCAAAATATAACCCCATTATTATTTGGGGTTTGTTGCCTTTTTGTCCTTTTTCTTTGCAAACACATAAATACATGTGTGCACACATGCCCAGTTACCTGTGCCTATGTTCATAATTGGTTTCTCACTGCGCTTTTTTCCACTTGATATATTGTAAGCCTTTTGCTACATAAATCAATGATAATTCTCATGTGTGATCATTAATGCTGCTTGTAACTCTCTTTATTATATTGTAATTAGTTTAACCATTTCTTTTTGGTCATTGAAGTGTTTTTCATTTTGGTAGAAATAGTATTGTAGTGAACATCCTTAGATAAGACTTCATGTGCATTTGTGATTGTTTTTCTTTAAGATAAATTTCCAATTGTGAGGACAAAAGGTATTAACATGCTAAGACTGCTGACACATATTGCAAAAAAGTTCTTTGGAAAAAAGTACTGATTTACATTGTACCCATTAGATATGAGTGTATTTGTTTTCCTACACCTTTGCCAATACTTAAGAATTATTATTTTTAATATTTTGTGTATTTTTTAAAAGATTTTATTTATTTATTTTTGGAGAGGGGGAAGCAAGGGAGAAATAGAGGGAGAGAAACATTGATGTGCCTGAGAAACAGATTGGTTGCCTCTTGTCCGCCCCCTGCTGGGGACCTGGCCCTCAACCCAGGCATGTGCCCTGGCTGGTAATCGAACCAGAGACCCTGTGGTCTGCAGGCCGGCACTCAGTCCACTGAGCCATACCAGCCAGGGCAAATCTTGTGTATTTAATATGTGAAAAATGCATCTCATTTTTATTTAAAGCACTTATTTTATTATTACAGTGAGGAATATTGGGTGTTTATTGAACAGTCCTATTCTATGAGCTGCCTATTCATGAGCTTTGCTTATTTTTATATTTGTCTTTCTACTTTCTTTTTTTATTATTATTTTTTTATCCTCACCCAAAGACATTTATTTTCATTGCTTTTTGAGAGAGAGAGAGGAAAATGTCAATGTGAGAGAGAAACATTGATTGGTTGCCTTTTTGTATGTGCCCCAGTGGGGATCAAACTCACAACCTGGGTGTGTGTCCCGACCAGAATCACGTTTCTTCCACAGGACAACTCTCTAACCACCTGAGCCCCACTGGGCAGGGCTGTCTTTCTATTTCCTAATACTGATTTATAAGAGCTCTTTATTAAAGGTAATAATCCTTCTGTTTGCTATGGTAGAGGTATTGCCGCATTTGTCAATTAGGCTAACTTTTGGAATTGTTTGATGTGCCATTTTTCAAAAGCTCTTTCATGAAATTATCTGTTAATTTTATGGATTGTTTCTCACCTTTTATGAACATTAATGCCTTCTCCCACTCAAAAATTATATAAATATCTACTTGCATTTTCTAATAACATAAAACTTTTTAATCCCTGAGATTTATTTTAGTGTGCGATGTGAGACAGAGAAAATTTTTTTTCTGAATATAGTTAGCCAGTTGCCTCACCACCAATTGATTGAGAATAATCCCTTTTATGCTTATTAGCATAAGATCTTTAAATCTATTACTGGGAGTCAGTTCCTGATCATATTTGTCTATCATTAGGCACTATCTTAATTATTATTATAATATGGATAAATTGTATTATTTGATACTATATATTTTCCATCACAGTTTTTCAACTTTTTGCATTTAGAGAAAATTCTGCAATTATTTATACAAGTATGTCATATTTATAAACCAAATAGGTGAAATTGAGTCTTTCGGTACTGGCTCTTCCCCATTTAATACCTCTCTCTACCTAAGGTTTTTTTTGGGTTTAGGTCTTCCAATATAATTCTGTTGTTTTCTTCATGTAAATGTGGCATGTCTCAGTACTTATTTTCCTAGATATTTAAATTTTTTTGTTTTTGTATATAATAAAAGTTTTCTATCCATATATATTTCCTCCCTGGTCATTTCTGATATATAGGGAAGGTACTGGTTTTTGTGAATTTACCTGATAACCAGTTTCTTTGTTGAACAGCCTTAATTTTTTTTAATAGTTTCTTAGTTAATTCTTTTGGAATTGTTGAGTTTTGAATTATCTGCAAATAATTTCTCATTGAAAAAAATATACATAGCTTACCCTGGCCGAGTACCTCAGTTGTTGGAGCATCGTCCCAATACACTAAGGTTGCGAGTTCAGTCCCTGGTCAGGGCACACATAACAATCAATCAATGAATGCATCAATAAGTGGAACAACAAACTGATGTTTTTCTCTCTCTCTCTTAAAAAAAAAAAAAAAGTATATGGCTCCTTTTTCCCCCTATTTTACTAAATTATTTGGTACTTGAGCAGTTGAGCAATTGGGTTGATAAGGGCTTTCTTTAATAATATATGTGATCCTAGCTTTGATTGAATAAATATTTTTTAAATACTTTATTTATTTTTAGAGAGAGGGGAAAGGAGAGAGCGAGAGGGAGAGAAACATCGGTGTGCGAGAGAAACATTGGTTGGTTACCTCTTGCACGCCCCTCAGCTGGGGACCTGGCTCACACCCCAGGCATGTGCCCTGATCGGGAACTGAACCGGCAGCCTTTCAGTCTGCAGGCTGGCACACTGAGCCACACCTGCCAGGGCAATAAATATTTTTTAATCTTTTTAAAGAAGTGGGCTTCTATTCCTAATTTACTAAGATTTCTTAAACATCAGGATTAGATAAATTCATCAACTACATTTTCAACTTTTATATTGATGATCATAAAATTTTACCCCTTTGACTTTTAATGTTATTGTTGCATTATTTTGATACTCATAAACTAAGCCAATAATACTGGGATTTAGTAAAGGATGATAATGTAGGAAAAAGGAACCAAACCAGTTGAGTTGGAGTCTTAAGTAATATAGGTAGGAAAATGGCCTAAGATAAGATTTGTATGTTATCTTAAACTTGTCTAAACGCCCAAATGCCAGACTTGAGAGTCTGAGTGAATACCTTGCCAAACAGTAGAAGATTTTAGAGCCCAGAGCTACCATCAGTGGAGTCCAACATTAGACCTTAACAGAGTGACATTACAGGTATGACAGATTTTGGAAGATACCAGTGCATTCAGAGGTTTACTGGTGTATTCACATGAAAGGTAATGCATGAGGAAGAAGATCGGTTTAGGATCACAGTATCAGGATCATATCTCTTCCCTTTAGCGGGGTGGTAGTTTGCTCCTTCTCCACTGGTTTAAGGCTTTCCTTTGTGTAGGAGCAAGGAATCAGGAGAGTGAGCAGTGCTTTGTTTCTGTCCCCCAACCTCAACCAGAGCTACTGAGCGCTTTTGTCCAGCCGCCAGTCACCTGCTGCGTGCCTGCTTGACCAGGGAGAACTCTGAACTCATGCCTCGCCCCCAGTCTTTTTTGTGGATACAACTATGTTTCCAACAGTCGTCTAGAAAATACTTGTAATATTTTCCATCACAAAATACAGTGAGATTGACCTCCTAGGACCAAGAATTATTTTTAATAATCACTATTTTTTGGTTAAGTTTTTCTTTTAGAAAGGTGTAATAAACTTTAGTAGTCGTCACCATTTGGACAAAAAATTTTTTTAATTTATTTATTTTTAGAGAGAGGAAGGGAGGGAGAAAGAGGGAAACATCAATGTGTGGTTGCCTCTCGAGTGCCCCCTACTGGGGAACCTGGTCTGCAACCCAGGAACATGCCCTGACTGGGAATCAAATCGACGACCCTTCAGTTTGCGGGCTGGCACTCAATCCACTAAGCCACACCAGCCAAGACTGTTACTATACAGTTTCAAGTTAAACTAAAATCATAACTTGAACTTACTGTATGACAGACAGGCACTGTGCCACCCTATGAGGAAGCTTTTTTTTCTGTGTAATTTTACACCAAAATGGAGATTCAGCAGGTTTATGCTCACCAGCAATTAGGATGTGTGGCTTGCTTGCAAAGATCAGAAATTCTTTCAAGCTCGTTTAAGTGGGAAATAGTCTAGCTTAACGGTTTAGGGTCTGGGATCTAAATTCAGAATGTTTTGGCTTTAAAACACAGCTCACATAACTACAGTACCTTTGGCAAGTTACTTAAACTCCTTATACTTTGGCGTCCTCATGTAAAATGAGAATAATAATAATAATAATAATAATAACACTTCCCTCATTTGGTTCTTGTAAAGCACATAGAACATGCCCGGCACTCAGTGATGGTGGTGAGCTGCCATGTATAGGTTTATGTGGTCTTATTATTCTAATGTCCAAAACTTGAATTTTAATACTTTTTATGTCTCTTACTCCTAATTCTAGAGCAAAAATATCAGGCTCACTTTGGTTAGGTTTTCACTCCACTCCAGTCAGCTACGATTAAGTAGTCTCCTACACACGGTTTCGGCAGAACATTGGGCAGAAAGGACACAAGCTGGACAAAGTACCCAAGTGGTTGTACTTGACTGACACAGAGTATAGCTTCAAATTGTGTGTTGGGTGTGAAGCGTTAAGTAAATGCCAGTAATTAAGGTTGAGGCCGGTAACTTTAAACATGTCGAACTATGGTAAGATAGCAGATGATTACTTTTTCATCTTTTAAAAACTTTCAGTAGTCTCAAAATGTTTTGAAATGAGTCAAAGTAATGTATTTTATTTTGAAAAAAGAAAAATGCCTTCCTTTTAAATTCATCTCTCGGTGTTTTAATAGTACTTTTTCTCTCAAATAGGTTAATAGTCAGAGCCTACACAGTAATCTTATTTACTTTACAGGTTACAGAATACCTGTATGCTAATAAAATGGCTTTCCGATACCCAGAACCTGAGGACAAGGCCAAGTATGTTAAAGAAAGAATATGGCGAAGTGAATACGACTCCATGCTGCCAGATGTGTATGAATGGCCAGAATCTGCAGCAAGCCCTCCCCCGCTATCGGAATAGAAGCACCCACCCACACATACTTCCCATGCTTCAGGGAACCCCTTTTTTCAGACAAAAATATAAAGTTCTCAAGTTTGTGGGGTTTTACTGTGTTTTTATTCTCCCCCACTGCTTTGCCCGACTTATTTTTCCCCGTGAAAATAACTTCAAGTTTTCTACACTTCTGGATGGGGTAGATGTGTTGAGCACATTGTTTATGCCCACCAGCACCCTGCCATCAAACAATCACAATGCTTTCGTTCTGATCTGTAGATCACACCATGTCAAAGAGATGTTCAAAACGTATTTGGAAATGTCTTCACCTGTGCTCTTGTTCACACTCGCCGAAGTGTGTGTTCTTTACTATTGTAGGTAATAACCTTCACCTGGTCCTTTTTGGGCCACCAAAGGATGAACTTCTGTGGCGATGTGCAGAGAATTTTGAGAAAAAGCCAAATTTAACCAAAATCTAAGGATAGATTGCCTATCTAAAATGTTCTTTTCTTTGCTCTTCATGCTCTGAAATTCCTTTCCAGTGTAAAGAGCCAGAGGAATATGAAAAATCTACCCTATTATTTATTTGTTAGACTAAATTAAGGCCTAACTATAACATTGTGAGAGAGAGATGGGAACTACTGCTGCCTTTAGACAAATTTAAAAATAGTCATTCTTTTCAACAGTGTATAAAAATCAGTGTAACTTTTTTATTTAATAAAGATAATAACTTAAATTTAATTGCTTCAATTATGCTTTTTATTGCCCAAGTAGAAATTTAGCTTTGCTTGTTAGGAAAAAACACATATTTTCATCTTCTTAATTTCTAGATGACTCTAAGGAGGGGGTGTAGGATCCCTAATGCATATATTATGACTGACATCATATGGCTTTTAAGAAATTAGTGATATGTTTCATATCTGAGTCACATTTAAGTGAAGAGGTTGTACACTGATTCCAGTAGCGATGCTCATTTTGGAATGTTCCTTGGAGACATCCCTTTGAATATGTTAGTGGCAATTCTTTCTCCATTAAAGACAGATTTAATTTTTTGAAACCACCAAAACTAATTTAGAGCTAAATGGGGATGAACAAGGTAAGTGTTCAAATCATTTTTAATAGTCCATTCTCATGCCATTTTTCATCCCGGTAAAATGAGTAATAATTGGCTAGGGAGACCAGTGTTTTATGTGGCTTACATATTGAAGAGTTCTAAAGGAAACCAAAGTCATCTTGAGAAGTAGAACTATCTCTATATATATGCCTAACATAGTTGCTTTGAGGGAATAAAATTTTTAAACACTACAATTATTCAGAGCTACATATCAGCGTGCACATTACTTGACATTTCTCTCTGCAGTCCTTGATATGTTAGATATAATATTCTGTAGGGGAAAAAAGGAGACTTCATTTTTATTTTCATCTTTTCTTCTCCCTATAGGTAGAAATTAAGTCTCAATAATTTTTAGTATAATTCAGCATTTTAAGAATGCTCAAAATGTCATTGCCATTCAGAGTGTGGGAAAATGCAACTGGTGAATTCATTTAACAGATAAGTGAAGTCAGAAGTCTGTTACATACATGTATTTCATAAAATTAGCAACTGGGTCACAATTGGTTTCTTTTAATTAAATATGAAAGGTTTATGTTTTTCATATTGCCTTTGTCAAAACACAATCACTTCCAAAAATATTCTCCGTGAAATCTTGATTTTAGTTTAACATTACAAGTATAATTCCAAACCTGATTTTTGCTTAATGCTTATTGAAGGCAGGGACATGTGCTGAATTCTACTTAGAAATTTTACTAACATGTTAGCTTATTGACATGTCTAGTACAGTCCTCATGGAAATGATAAATATTTCAAGGAAAAAAACAAGGTCAAATACCATCTAGCTTACTTAAATAAGGGAAAGATTATATATATTTAAAGCAACTTATTCTGTCATATATATTTACCAACCAATATTTTAACAAGTAACAATTATTGGATGTAAATTGAAGAAAAAAATTTTAATATTAACGCTAAGAATACAGGCAGGAATTGTCACCACGATGGGACGCGGATGGAATAATTGCACCAAATTGGAAAAGAAACCAAAACATTTGGATTTCTATGGAAATGTTTACCTAGCAACAAGGTAATTATTTTGAAAAGCAGGAATGGAGAGTCATTTTAATTCCTTTGAATAAAGAAGAAATTCTGTAGATTGTCCAAAATTATTTAATAGGGACAGGTGAGACTACATGTTTTTCTACTCTGGTACTAACACTGGTGGTGTGAAACAAATTGGATAACTACTAAGGGTAAGGTTTATTGACTGAAGTGGGAAAGTGTTAAAGGTTTTGGTGAAACCTTTCTAAAGAATTTTTAACCAGAAAATTGCCTCAAAATCACCATGAACCTTCTTTAAAATGCAGAGGCTTCCGCCCCCTACGCCCAGGCCCCCTGGACCACCTGGGGCAGAGCCCTAGTAGGTGTATCCTCAGCACACACTTCCCTTAGTCTCCCAATCACTGCTTTAAAGCAGGTGTCTGAATCCCATAGAGAGCTAACCCAGTCCTGTGGATGCAGTGGGTCAGGGTGGAGCCCAAGATTCTGCGTTTTTGACAAGCTCCCAGGTGGTGCCCGTGCTGCTGCTACAGAGAACGCATGGAATGGCATTGCTTCTGAGTGCCGAGTGCGGCGCGCAATTTAAGTTCAATGCTCGTGGAGTATGTACCGTGTATGAAAAAAGATAACTGAAATTATGTTCTTACAAAGAATTGATTCCATCTCTTTTTGATATGTATAGTTTTTAACATGTTTATAAGAACAAAAAACTTTAAAGCAGATTTTTTTTGGAAAATGCATAACTAGAATACTGTTCAATTCTAAATTACTGATTTTAAATGTACTTATTAAGTAATACCTAGCAAACAGTTTTCATTTATAAAAGATTAGTTATCAAATGAATATTCGTTTCTTCTCTATTCTTGATTTGTTTCGTGATAAGACTACCCTATCCTTTGTCTTTTCTTTAAATTATCAGCCTCTGGAGAAATAAAATTCTACATTCTCCTTTGGAAAGGAGTAACAAATTGAGACCAAAGCATAGTAATCACTAAGGAGTGTGGAGCATTATCTACTGCTCTCAGATAACTAAGCACAGAGGAGATGGTAGAGAAGGAAAAGTCATGCCTTGGAATGACTACTTCAGCCAAAAGCTCCTCCCGCTTATTTCTTAAACCCATTCAGTATCCCTCCCTCAAAGATTATTTCTCCATACAGCGAACAGCTCCAGTGTTCTGTTGAATTCACCAAAATGGAATCAGCTCTGTGGAGCATGCATAATACTTGAGAGTATTAATATAAATCTCAAAGCTCTCTACTGGGATTCCATTTAAAGGGACTGTCTCAAAGAATGAAATAGAACCAATGTCCTATTTTCTTCCCAAACAAGACGCACACATTCAGGTACAGGCACATTGTGGCTTCATAGAAAATGGGACAGACTCATTATCTGCTTTGGGTCTCAACCGATTTGTGATTTGCACTTTGATGGGCACCTAAATGTTGAAAAATCCTCTACAGACAAGTGAAAGTAACATGCTTAGTATTCAAAATATTCAAGATAATTCAACTACAGAAAACTTCCCCATCATCTGAAGTCAGAATAAGATGTTTATATGTAAGCAAAGTTCAATGCTTTTATTTCAAATGTTAATAAATTCAACTGGGCCTAATTAAGACACAACTTTTATTGCCTAGTTCCGTTAATCCTTGCCTTAATCTCAGGAGTTACTGAGATAAACTAGCGATTAGATTTAAAACAATTATTTTCCTTTCTTGGACAAGGAAAGTTGTGCCTCTCAAAGAGAAAAGGAAGTAAGGTATGGTACGGAAATGTGTTCATAGTTCAGTTGCATAAAATATACAAATTAAGGTAAATGACTTTTAGATGTTTTGTACAATAACTGTAACAGGTTTTTGTCAATAAATTTTTTCAAATAGCTATTTAATTTTGTTTATTTTCCAAATAAAAATGTATTTGTCACTTTGCTATTTAGGAAGTTATCCCTACATTCAGCATACTTTTTAAAACTTTAAAACTAAGGAGAAATCTATTCCCCAGTTTTCAGTATTTTCTAGGAAAATTGTTTTCCTTTGCCTAATTTTAAGTGTATGTTCTAGCAAATCATTGATTCCTATATAATCATTGAAATATCACCAACACGTTAGATATGTACAATTAGCAAATAATGATCCATTTTATGGCTCGCACCTCCTCTGCCAGGCACCGTTGTCTAAGTATGCTACGTGCATCATTACACTCGGGCTTCAGAGTCGTCTTCTGTCACCCTCCCCGCCCCCGTCGGCTGTGTCAGAGGGAAGGGCTCCAGGCACAGAAATTAACCGCCTTGCCCAAGCTCCCAGCTGGTGAGTGGCAGAGAGCAGACACGGAGCCTCAGCCCCTTCAGGGAAGGAGGGCCTCTGTGACAGATGGCTTTATCTGGGTCTTAAGTGCCTCATCGTCAGGAATCATTACTTTAGATGAAACTCTCCACCCGCTCTTATGGAGTCATCTTAGGTCCCTTAGAACACATTTTACCAGTTCATTTGGTTTTTTACTTTGTTCCCATTTATAATTCAAGTATAAACCTATCTGACTCATTAGCCTTCAGAACTTTAAGTATTGGATATAAACATTAAAAAATTGTTTTTGAATGTGATAAATGACAACAGATTCTCAGTAGCCAGTTCACTAACATCTTTGGATTTGGTCATCTGCACAGAACCACAGACTGCTATCATTTCTGGGCAAATCGGTTTTAAGAATCTGCCAACGTCAATGTGAATTTGAATTGTAAGATATATTTTAAATGATTTCTATTGTATTATATGGATGTATATAACTTCTTCCATTAAAAGGTGAGGACAGTTAAGAAGTAGTAATATCCATGTGTGGAATAAAGAATTTCTGAGTCTTATTTTAGCTAAATATTTGACAAAATAAAATTTCTCCTAATAATTCATTATACTTTGACCTTTAAACTTATACTGATGACCTTTAAAATTAACTGAAATTAAAACCATATTTTTGCAATTGATATTGTGTTCCCTTTAATAACGGGATGTTATTAAATTAATTATTGGCTTCAGGGAAGCCACATGTGGCAAAAGTCACTGCTTAGCCTTCCTCACTTTTGTATTTAAGATAAGGAGATGAAATAGTCTTGTAGCAATTGCTTATGGGAATACTAGTTTAAGAGGAATGCATTCTATAGAGTATATTGTATAAGATAGACTTATTACGGGTAGTTCCAGAAATCAGTCTAAACTTCATAACGATGTGATTTTTTCCCCTTTTTTGTAATATATTGTAATGAGATGTGTGTTTTTTATTAGTAAAGTTTTCCTATACATAAAAATTCATTATGACCTTGTTTTTATTTTTTAACTTTAAAACATGACTGATTTATTTTTTTTATTGAATTTATTGGGGTGACATTGGTTAATAAAGTTATGTAGGTTTCGGGTGTACAATTCTATAATACTTCATCTGTATATTATGTGTTCACCACCCCGTGACCTCGTTTTTAAAGGTGGCTGTATATAGCGCACTTTTAAAAATTGGTGTTATTTTTTTTTTGAAGATTTTATTTATTTATTTTTAGAGAGAGGGAAAG